AGTTTTTTTTACTTGATTCTCTAGGATTCTCTAAGTACATCATCATATCATCTGCAAAGAGTGACAGCTTTGTTTCTTCTTTGCCTATTTTAACACCTTCAATTTCTCTTTCTTCTCTTATTGCTAAAGCTAATGTTTCCAGTATGATATTGAACAACAGTGGTGATAATGGACATCCTTGTTTCACCCCCGATCTTATTGGAAATGCTTCTATCTGGTCCCCATTACATATGATGCTTGCTGAAGGTTTTAGGTAGATGCTACTTACTATTTTAAGGAAGGCTCCATTCATTCCTATACTCTCTAGTGTTTTTAATAGGAATAGGTGTTGTATTTTGTCAAAAGCTTTTTCTGCATCTATTGAGATGATCATGTGGTTTCTGTTAGTTTTGTTATTGATACGATCAATTATGCTGATAGTTTTCCTAATATTGAACCAGCCCTGCATTCCTGGTATAAATCCTACCTGGTCACAGTGTATTATTCTTGTGACAAGCTGCTGTAATCTATTTGCTAATATTTTACTTAAAATTTTTGCATCCATATTTATTAGGAAAATTGGTCTATAATTTTCTGTAAACAATATATTGTAGAATTATGGTTTTTAATCCATTCTGCTATCGGCTTCTGTTTTATGGGAGAGTTCATCCCATTTACATTCAGTTATGATTACTATCTGTGTCTTTTTCTCCATCCTATTTCCCCCCATTTATGCTTTTCTTTTTCCTTTCTCCCTTTCCCTCTTTACTAGTGTTTTGCTTTTGACCACTGCCTCCCTCAGTCCCACATCCCTTCCCTTAGCCCCCTCCCTTTTCTTCTCCTTAACCCTTACTACTTACTTCTTCCCTCCCTTCTATCTCCCCTCTCTTTTTTTCCTTTTTTTCCCTCCTACTGCCTATAGGGCAAGTTAGATTTCTATACCAACTGATTATGTTATTCCCTCCTCGAGCCAAATCTGATGACAGTAAGATTCAAACAATGCTCATCTGCCTCCCTTCTTTCCCTCTACTGTAATAGATTTTTGTGTCTTTTCCTGTAATGTAATCTACCCTTGACTGCCTCCTCCTTTCCTTTTCTCTCAGTACATTTTCTTTCTTCCTTCCTTTCTTTCTTTTTTTTTTTTTTAGTATGACCATTTATTGGTGACAAACACTCAATTTTACTTACATTCCATGGGGAGAAAAAATTTCCAGCATGAACAACGAATTGAAGCAGCACTTAACTTGCAAGGCAACTGTATTTTTTTACTTGAACACATGCAAAAACTTACTGCACACATTTCTGTGCACAATAACACAAAATCAAAAGCAACAAAGTTTTATATATAAACATTGTTAATTTTTTTTACATGGATTTGTAGTTCAACAGTATAAAGCACTCAAGGAAAATCAATGTGCAGTTTTTATATGTACTACACTGAGATCATATCCTGTAGTGTTGTGAAAGCTGTGTGCCACAGAGAGCAATATATGCACATTTATTTTTTTAATAATCTTTAAAAAGAAAGACCAAAATTTATTTATTTCAAGTTCTGTTGTGTTTAACAACAACAACAAAAAAAGGAAATAGTAAATGAACCAAATGATCATGTGAAAGCTTAAAATTCCTAAAATGTCTAATTTACATAATCATTGGGCAACTTCATCAAGGTTCTATATACAGAAGTATATAGAGAGATATATATGGATATGTGTACATATATAAATCTCTATAGATATCTGGGACATTAAACTTCTCAGTACATTTTCTTAGATCAGATTAATCTACTTACTTGGATACATTTAACCAACTTGATTAGATTTTTTTTTATCATTACATCAAAGTCAACTTATACTCATTCCCTTTATGTATACCCCTTGTATTTGAAGGTCAAATTTTCTGTTGAGTTCTGGTCTTTTTATCAGGAGGGTTTGGAAGTCCCCTATTTCATTGAATATTCATCTCCTCCCCTGAAAAATCATGCTCATTTTTGCCGGGTAGTTGATCCTTGGTTGTAATCCAAACTCTTTTGCCTTACGGAATATCATATTCCACGCCTTATGACATTTTAATGTAGAAGCTGCAAGGTCCTACATAATCTTGACTGTAGTTCCATCATATATTGTTTCTTTCTGGCTGCTTACAGTATTTTCTCTTTGACCTGGTAATTTTGGAATTTGGCTACTATATTCCTTGGCATTTTCAATTTGGGATCTCTTTCAGGAGGTGATCGGTGGATTCTTTCTATGGCTATTTTACCCTCTGGTTCTAGGACTTCAGGGGAGTTTTCCTGAAAGTTTCCTGAAAGATGCTGTGTAGGCTCTTCTACCTCTCTTGTTTGACTTTCAAAATCCTTCTTGAACTCTTCTAAGAAGGCTTTTTGGGCTTCAGACCAGTTCACATTCCCTTCTGAGGTTCCAGATGTGGTTTTGTTGACAAAGTTGTCCTCTTCAGAATTTCTGCCTTGATCTTCACTGTTCCCATAAGTATCTATAGTTTTTGCTCATGGTGTTTGCTTATTTCCTGGCCTTTAAAGAGACTGAGCTCTCCTGTTGGGGAGCAGGGGGCACTGACCCAACCTTCTTGAATTGGGAGCCCGGGGCCTGCTCACTGGCTTTGTGTGCCCCAGGGGCCTCCCATGTTGGCAGTTGGAGGCTGTAGGGTTCTGGCAGCTTACCTGGTGTTGGGCTGGAATCAGCAACACTGGAACTCTAGGGGTAGGATTGGGTAGTGTGGCCCCTGGAGGTTGCCTGCTCACCCAGACCTTTCCTTCCTTTTGCTTTCTTCAGCTCCTTTCAGATGGATGTTGCAGGATGTTTCTCTGCCTGGGGCCCCTTGGACCACTTCCCAGAGTTTTGCTGAAGCACTAGGAAATTTGGTTTCCATAGAATGCTGAGGCATGTGATAGTTTTTTGAGCTGGTTTCCACTGGTTCCCCTGCCCTTACAGAGGCACTGGTGGGTCCTGGTGTTGGTGTTTGTCTACTCTACCACCTGGGTTTTCAGGATCTTCCCCAGTATACTGAGATGAGGCTTTCTGCTAGCTTTCTGGGACACCTCTCATTCTGTACTGCTCTACTTCTCCCAAGGCAAGAGGGGCCTTTCCCACCTGGGCTACTGGATTGCTGCACCCTGTCTTTCTTCTAATTCAGCTGTTCCAGGGTTTTTCCTGGATTGATATTTTCTGGGCTTTCAGAGGTCAATGAGGGATGGTAAGAGCGACTTACTTCTTACTCCACCATCTTGGCTCCCCCAATTAATATTTGTAAATTTTTGTAATATTGGTAAATATTTGCAAATATTTGTAAATATTTGTAATATTTCTTACAAACGTCTCCCTCCTTAGAATGTAAGCTTCTTAAAAGCAGAAACAGTGGGGGAGAGTCCTCTTCTTTGAACCTTTTCTTTGCTCTGCATAGTGCCTGGCACATAAAAAGTGCTTAATACATGCCTCTTTCTTTCCTTTTTTTTTTTTAAATAAACAAATAAGGAAGCAGACACTCAAAAAGATTACCTGTATTGGTTAAAAAAAAAACAAACCAGAAAGCTGAAATTTGAATGAAGATTTCTGGACAACCATAGATTGGGGGTTCTTTCCTCCCTACCTCCACAAACTACCTCTACCTCACCTTTTTCCTTCTAACTATAGCTATAGTTTATAGACAAATAAAAGTGGAAAAGTTGATCTAATATCATATTTTATTTTGTAGTAGTGAAGCAAGGTTGGAAATCAGACAGTTAGATTGTCTCAAGAATGAGGAAATTGAGTCCTACAAGAAGTTAGCTGACTTTTCCAGGAGCATAGAGTCAGAAGAATCCAGGCTTCTTGCTACCCAATGCTCTACACTATTCCATTTGAAACACTTTCCTACCTTCAGGTTACAGAAAGATAACTGAATAGTTAGAAGAACCAACTAACTTACATGCACAGTGTCTGCATTTAGGGAAATTTGACTCAGCGTTGTCTTTAAATTTAGTTCAAAATAAGACTGGGGGAATTAACTGATCATTTCAAAGTGTCAGTCAAGACAAGTATTTGCCAAATGCCTTCTAGAAATAATCACATTGTGCTCAGGAGATATACCCCTAAACGTGACAAAATATTTTCACTTATTATCAAAAAATCTGGTGCTCCCACCCCAAGCCAAGAGTACACTCCATTCTTTCCAATTTCTTTTATTTGTAAATAATACTTTGGAGTCTCAGCTGCTCAGTTCTCTTTCCTGAAATAGACCAGGAAAGACTATATGGTACAGGGGGGATAGAGGATCTGCTGAGCAGTCTATTGAGAAGGAAGTATGGTGTTGGAGAAAGAGGATACATCACTTACATTGAGCCTCAGTTTCCAAATCTGTAAAAAAATGAAAATATAGGGGCAGCTAGGTGGTGCAGTGAATATAGCAGTGGCCCTGGAGTGAGAAGGACCTGAGTTCAAATCCGACCTCAGACACTTAACACTTACTAGCTGTGTGACCCCGGGCAAGTCACTTTACCCCAATTGCCTCACCAAAAAAAAAAAAAAAAGGAAAGAAAAAAAATAGACTGGCATTCCCCCATTTTACGGGGCCTCCTTAGGAGGAAAGGCAAGCCCTAAAAGTCCCTTTAATCAGAGCTGTTATCATTAACCATTATCATGATCCAGTTCTAGATACACAAGACACAACTCTAACGCAAAGGAAGCACCTAATGCGCCTGCCCCACCCCTTACGGGACAACTGTTCAGGGCCTCCAAGGTCTTCAAGAGAGCTGATTGGCCGTGCTAGAGAGGCACCGCCCCTCCTCGCCCACCAACCAATCGCTTCCTCGGGCAGTGTTCAGGCCTCAGAGGGGCGGAGGCAGATCTCTGGTATGTAAACGCTGGCCTCGTGTTGGCGAGGCTGGGCCTAGTTCGCTGCTGGACAGAGCCTTGGTCCTCCCGGCTCTTCCACCTCCGGGGAGGCGCCTACCATCGAGGACAGGAGAAACCCGACGCCTTCCCCCCTAACTTCTCCACCGCCTCGCCGCCCCCCGCCCCGCCTCCGCGATGTCCACCAAAGAAACTCGCAGCAACTGCGTCTCCCGCACCCCCAGCGCAGCCTCTCGCGGTCCGGCCTGTGACAAGAAAACGCCCACAGCGCCCCCTCGGGCGGCGGGCGGCAGTGCAAGGGGGCAGGGGGGCGGAGGCGGCGGCGGCGGCGCCCGCGGAGGCTCCCGGCCCCCGGGAGAGCTGGAGTACCGGGCCCGGGGCTCCTGCTACAGGGAGGAGCCGCTCTGTTTCAAACTCGACAGCTGCGTCGTAGGGGCGGTCATAGGTAAGGGGCCGGGCGGGGGAATCCCGGGCCACGGGAGGGCGGGGTCGTCTGCTTGGCCTTTGGCTTTGACCCCGCACCCTCGAGGTTTAGATGCCTGCCCCGAAGGCGGGGGGGGGGGTGTCTCCTTTTCCTCATTTCTCTAATTTGGTGGGCTTGGGTCTCCCCTACTGTCATAGACAGTAGGCTTCTAATACGCTCTCTTTGACTGGAATTGACTTAGGGTTTGCTTTGACACACGGGACCCGGTGGGCAGTAGGAGCTTAATAAATCTAGGTTGACTTGGCGTGAGGAACAGAGTTCACAAAGGGTGTGTCCTCCCTGCCTTCCCCCTGATGCTATGAACCTGTGCTTACTTGGACCACTTTCCTAGGCCAGGGCCCCCAGCTTCCTCTAGGGCTGACCCAAACCAAGCCATCCCCTGTTAAGCCCCTCAGGGACCATTCCTCCCCCTGCCCCCACTCCCAACCTACCTTTCCCCCTTGGAACTGCTTTAGGGTAGGAAGGGGAGGGAGAAGATAGATGCATACCCTGGAGAAAGGAGAGACCCCCGTCTCCTCTTTCTGAGAATGGGACTGTAAACTTTGAGCCTGGCACCCTTACTGGTTCCTGTTGCCTGTGCACTTTTAAGCTTAAACCCTTGCTTAGTCATCTTGCCTGAAGAACGCCTTCCTCAGAGGTTGGGTTTAATTGGTAATCCAATGCAAGACCACCCCCAAAGGTCTCATGTTCTTTTTACACTCAGAAGGTGTTGGCTCTTAACAGATAAAGGTGTTTAGGCTTCTCTGGGGTTTGGGGCTTGGGGTTTGTTTTGTTTTGTTTTTTGGGTTTGTTTTTTGGTTTTGTTGGTTTTTTTTTTTTACTTTAAACCTAGGGACTCTAAAACCTGCTGGCCTTTAAAAGAAATTGTTCAGTTTTAGATAAAATAACAATAAGCAGGGGAAGATCTAGTATGGTCAAAAGCTGATTCCAAGTCCCAGGTCGTTTCCTTACTACCGAGTGTGACTTTGAGCAAGTAATATAAAGTCTAAGCCTCAGTCTCAGTTTCTCTTAAACAGAGAAAGACCATTGAACTAGACAAGCTCTAATTTTTTTTTCAGTCAATAAAAATCAGCTTCTCTCCTTCTCTTTCCCTGTTGAGGAAACAAGAAAAACAACACCCATGTTACCAAAAAACTTGCATTCTGAGTCCATCATCTTTCTTTTAGGAGGCCGTCCACAAGCTCTAAATCTATGATCTTTTAGTTATGGGAAAAAAAATATCTTTTTAACTGCCTTTTCCAATAAGGCAATCTAGTCTCTTTTACCCCTCTAATCCAACAAGCATTTATTAAGCCCAACCTTTGAGGAAGGCACTGTTTCGGCAATAGGGATACAGAAAGAAAAGCCCCAGGCCTAGAGGAACTTATTCTTCAGGATTGGGGAGGAGACGAGTACATGGAATATGTAAACCAAGCAAAACACCCAGTTGAACAAGTGTGATCTTTATTTCAACTGGTCATGTTTTGGGAGTTCAGAGAAATGTTTGTTCATTCTTCTCTTTAAAAAAAAAAAATGTATATGTGGGCAGACTGCCCAGTTAGCCGGAGAATTGGAGGTAGAGGAAGGAGAAAGTAGAGAGTCCCTCGAGTTTAGTCTAGTAGTCTTAGACACCTGATAACTTAATTGTCCAAATCTTATCAATCATACTTATTTTGTATAATTTATAAATGTTTTAACAGGTCGGGGTGGAGCAAAAATAAAAGAAATTCAAGACTCAACGGGTTCTCAAATTCAGGTAGATGTTAATTTGGATTATCTTGAAATGAAACTCTGGAACTAAACATGTGGTTTCTTAAAATTTAATCATCATAGGTATTCTTTGAAGTGTGGCAGTGGAAAAGGAATTGGCATAAAGTTGATGGTGAACCTTGAGCAAAGTGTAAACCTCTGATTTTATTTTTATGTCTAGCTTTGCTGCTTTTAATAATTTGTCATGCAATTCCTTGCATTTTTATATCAGTCTAAGCATCAAATGGCCTTCACATGTATTTCATTGCGTTCTTCATAACTACCCTGTGAGGCAGAAATTAAACTTGTTTTATAGGTGAAACTCAAAAGTTTGCCTAAGGTCATATGGCAACCATATGAAAAAATGCTCTAAATCAGTAATAATAAGAGAAATTCAAATCTTAACGACTCTGAGGTTTTACTTCATACCCTGCAAATTGGCAAAAATGACAAAAAATGGCAATAGTCATTATTGGAGGGGTTATGGGAAGAAGGCACATACATTGTCTTTAAAATGATATAATCATTTTAGAAAGCAATTTGGAATTATGCAAATAAAGTGACTAAAATGTCCTTACCTTTTGAACCAGAAACACTGTTACTAGACTTATACTCCAAGGAAGCCATCAATAAGAAAAAAGTACCCCTATACTCCAAAATATTTATAGCAGCTCTTTTTGTGATAACTAAGAATTGAAAACAAAGTAGATGCCCATCAGCAATTACACAAATTGTGGTACATGAATGTAATGAAACATTACTGTGCTATGTGTGTAGTGAATACAGAAAAGCCTGCAAAGTGCTGTGTGAACTGATGGGCAGAGTGAAATGAGCAGAGCCAAGAAACCAATATACACAGGAACAACAACAGTGTAAATGGAAAGACTAAAAATGCACCAAAAAAATAAAAAGTAAATGTAACAAAATTTATGAAAGTCGAATAGAACTCAAATGAATAGTTATGAGAAGTCCTTAACCTACCCCTTTTTGGAGGTGGGAGGTCTGAAATGTTACACATTCCACATATTTTCAGACTTTCTTAATGTATTTTTCAGTTGTACTGACTTTTTTGTTTTCCTCTTGGAAAAAAAATTACTATTTGTCATATGGTGATTAAGAAACAGAAAACATCACTAACATTTTAAGTTTATATGGCTAATCAGGTGCCCTGCCTCAGTGGCACATGGAATTTCTATAATCCCTTACTCTCCTGGAGGATGAGCAATGTACAACTTTGGGGAAGAGATTCAGATGATCTCTTTTCCCCTTACCCTATCTTAAAAGATAGAGAGAGGCCCTTTGGAAAGCTGTTTTCACTATCATTTTGCTATTGCCTTGTCAACTGAATTGATATTATCTTAATTGACCATTACATCATCCTGAAACACTACAAAAAATTCTACTTTCATGGAACAGTTCTGTTAAATTTGCTTTATCAGAGGATTAGACCTTATTCTAGGGTCCATCCTGAGTAACAATCTTGTTCAACTATTAGAGGTATATCCCTTATGAAATTAGAAGATAGATACAGGAGATGAGCCAAATGGCTTCTGAAACTTCATAATCCAGATCCGTTAGCACTTTTATTATATTTGTTTAAATTTTTTACCTTTCTGAATTTGGAAACTTGAGTATAATAAGATTATGATTATTGATGTCTTTCTGTATTTTTAGATAATAAAAGGGGATCTTGAGTCAGAAACCAGAATATATGGCAACAAGGAGAACCAGAAATCAGCTAAGTTAATGATAGAGGAAATAGTAAAAAAAATAGAAAAGTATTCTAAAGAGGACACAAAAACTGGTAAGTTAATTTTTATAACACAAATATATTTATAAAACAACCACTCTAACAGAATCCTTTATGCAAAAGCCATTAAATGAATTTTCAACTGTTGTTGGACCTTAACAGCTACAACATTTTACTTCCCCCAACCCCCTTCTTTACTAAATTTCAATGAATCTCCAGTATTCCAGGGGTTTTCCCAGTTGCTCTAGTTCATACCCTTTGCCTTAGGGAAGAAGAATTTATTAATTGCCCTCCTGTATGCCAGGTACTATGCTAAGCACTTAAATATTATCTCATTTGATCCTCACAACAACCCTTCCAGATAGGTGTTCTTGTCCCCATCTTACAGTTGAGGAAACTGAGACAGAATGTGACTTGCCCATGGCCAGATTTGAACTGGGATCTTCCTGACTGCAGATGCAATGCTGTATCTACAGAGCCACCTAGCTTCCTTAATTGAAGTAATGTTGGCTGTCGTGAAAAACATGACATTTGTCACTTGGTAATTTAATTATATCCACAACTACTCTCCAAATTCTTATTTGAGCATGTTGACTTGGCCTTAATAATGTTAAAAGACAGCACTTTAAGTTTATATGATGTATAAATATATGTAATACAAGCTATTTTTTTGTACAAACTTAATCATTTATTTAATAAGCATTAAGTCTATGATACATAGTACTGCTTTAGGCTTTTGGAGGCTAGAAAAGCAGAAATATGTTCTGTAAATATTTCCTGGGTTTAAATCCAGCCAGTGATCTGATCACTTGTGTGACCTGGGGCTAGTCACTTAGCCCAGGACTTCTTTTTACATTCCCAACCCCTTCAGCACTTCCTAAACTGGGGGTCAAGACTCAAATGGGGTTTAAGAAGTGTTGACTTAGCTTACCTGAGCCTTAGTTCCCTCACAATGAGATGATCTTGTTGACAGACCTCTAAAATTCTAGAGCTGTGACACTATGATGAATCTAATAGGATGATATTTGTGCAATCCATCTCACTAGGCTCTTAGGAGCATACTATATCATCTTTAAAATGCTATAGAAATGTGAGTTGCTATTATGTTTCTGAAGGGTTTTCATATACCATATTATTCTCAGAACAATACAGCAAATTGGCAGTATGTACAGTTACTAGCCTATTTTGTAGATAATAAAAATGAGGTACGCATAATTAGTTGGTAGAGAAAGCCGGAGTTTGTTAGACATGTATGTTTAACTTGAGAATTTCAAAATGAATTATACTCATTTAAAGAGTTGTTCCTTAATTCCATTAGAATGGAGAAAGATGATACTGTATAATTCACATTTATAGTGATTTTAAGGTGTACAAAGTGCTTTTCTTACAACCCTGCAAGATAAGTACTATAATTAGTAAATAATGTGTTATTACTTACTTCTTGGGAAATGGAAAAAAAAAGTATAAGGGGGCAGCTAGGTGGCATAATGGATAGAGCATGGCCCTGGAGTCAGGACCTGAGTTCAAATCCAGCCCCAGATTTTTACTAGCTAGGTGACCCTGAGTAAGTCACTTAACCCTGATTGCCTCAAAAAAAAAAAAAAAACTATGAGGAATGTTTGTTATTCTTTCCACATTACCTACTTTCTACATTCAAAAACATCTTAGAAAAAATGACCAACACTTCATACTGAACTAGTAAAAATAATTTATGTTGAGTTTTCTCTTTATTAGTAAATGGAAGACAATGTTATGAAAGCAGAAATTGTTACAAAGTAATATTTTTGAACTTCTGATGACTTTGCCTTCTTAACTTCTCTGCACCCTGAAGGAAACACTTTGAAATCATCCTGTAATGAAAATAGCCCAGAGAAAAAAGTGCCAGTGATTGATTGGGAGGCTATTAAACAGGACCACCTGCACTATATTAAAACAAAGTGGGACGGTTAGTACAACATAAATATTCTTGTGACTTTTGTCTTAAATTTAAATAATAATTCTGGCAAAATATACTTCTCTTACCATTATTAAAGAATTCTGTACTAAAAAAGGAACATAAACACTTTTATGTAATGTGACCTTATTTTAATCCTTTGCACAAGTTGCTTGCTAAAGGGTAAGGCGGGCAGTAACTGAGTACTGTGTGATATGACTACAATGGTTCTCTCTAGCCCTTTTTCACAAACCATCTTAGGGTTCGTGTGTGTGTGTGTGTGTGTGTTGTATGTTAGCAATGCATATAGTTAGTAATATTATATATATTTAGGAAGAGGGCTTTGGGAATGTGGACCTGTGATTTCACTGGTATAGAGAATTCTTGTTACCAAAGCAGGTCTTGTGCTCACATTCTAATTTAAATTAGAGGGGAGGTTAAGTGATCTTAACTTGGCCCACTCTGTGTCTGGGTTAATACTTGGACCTAGGTTTACCTCAGCCGCTAGCAGGCTTTCTATCCAATACTCCACTGGATCTCTCAATCTTAGGTCATATTAATAGACTCCATATAAGGAGGAAACTGCTATCTTCTTTAGTTTGGTTCTAGGATCTGAGTTTGAAAAAGTAAGGTGAGCCAATGTAATAAAAATGACAATTCTGCCTAAACTAATCTACTTATTCAATGCCATCCCAATTAAATTACCCAAAAAAATTGGGTTTTTGAGCTAGAAAAAACAATAATAAAATTCATTTAGAAGAACAAAAGGTTAAGAATATCAGGAATTGATAAAAAAAAAATTTGTAAAGGAAGGAGGTTTAGCAATACCAGATCTTAAACCATATTATAAGGCAGTAATTACCAAAACTGTCTGGCACTGGCTAAGAAATAGAAAGGTGGATCAGTGGAACAAAGCAGACATACAATATGCAGTAGTAAATTATTATAATAACCTTGTGTCTGAAAAATGTAAATATTTAAACTTTTGGGATAAGAATAAACTATTTGGTAAAAATTGTTGGGAAAACTGGAAAGCAATTTGGCAGAAATTGGGTGTAGACCAATATCTTACACCATTTACTAAGATGAGGTCAAAATGGATACATGACCTAGATATAAGGGAAATATAAGTGAATTATAACAATATGGAACATAGTACATATCAGACACATAGATAGGAGAATTTCTGAATAAACAAGAGATAAAGAGCACTGTGAGATGTAAAATGATAAAATGGATAATTTTGATTACATTAAATTAAAAAGGTTGTGTACAAATAAAACTAATGTAGCCAAGATTAGAAGGAAAGCAGAAAATGGGGGGTGGGAATTTTATAGACAGTTTCTCAGATAAAGGTCTCATATCTCAAATATATAGAGAACTTGATCAGATTTTTAAGAATGAGTCATTCCCCAATTTGTAAATGGTCAGAAGATATGAACAGGCAATTTTTGGATGAAGAAATCAAAACTATATATCGTCATGAAAAAATGCTCTAAATAGTTATTGACTAGAGAAATGCAAATTAAAACAACTTTGAGATATCATCTCATACCTATCAGATTGGCTAAAATAGTAGAAGGAAAAACAAATGTTGGAGGGGATGTGGAAAAATTGGGACTTTAGTATATTATTGGTGGAACTTTGAACTAATCCAACCATTTTGGAAGGCAATCTAGAATTATACCTAAAGAGTTATAAAACTGTGTATACCCTTTGACCCAGCAATACCACTATTAGATCTGTTTTCCAAGGTGATCAGGGAAAAAAGGAAAAGAACCTCTATGTTCTAAAATATTTATAACAGCTCTCTTTGTGGTGGCAAAGAATTGGAAATGAAGGGAATACCCATAAATTAGGAAATGGCTGAAAAAGTTGTGGTATATGACTGTGATGGAATACTACTGTGCTTGGTAAGAAACGATGAGCTGGTTGATTCTAGAAAAACATAGGAAGATTTGCATGAAATAATGAAGAGTAAAGTGAGCAGAGCCAAAAGAACATTGTATATACAGTAACAGCAATACTGTTCGAAGAATAATTGTGAACAACCAAGTTATTCTGAATACTATAAATATTCAAATCAACTATGAAGGACCTTTGAAGGAAGATGCTATCCACCTCCAAAGAAAGAACTGATAAATAGAAGTATGCATAGTAGTTTTACATATATTTATAAATTCGAGTCAAGTGGTGGCCTTCTCTACTATGGGGTGGGGAGGGAGGAAGACGTTTGGAACTTAAAATATAACAAAAAATTAAATAAAAAAATGAGAAATCTAAAAAAAAAGATAAAGTAATAAGAATAAAGAAGGGTCTAGATGCCATGTCATGGGGAACACTGAAAGAACTGCAGAAGAGAAGATCTACTGAGTTCTTCAAATATTTAAGGAGTTGAAACATGGAATAATTATTTCACATTTCAGAGGGCCAGAGGAGAAGCAAAATTTTTTAAACAAAGCATCTCCAAAGTGGATGCCCTGGAGATATTAGGAATGTCAAGTAGAGGCTAGATGACCATTTGACATGGTTGATGGAAAGGTCACTGCTGAATAAGGCAGGTTTGATATGTTAGGATAGTTGTCCATGACCCATTCTGATTTCATGATTATTATGAATCAATACTTCTTTTGTAAAGTATGCTAACTGTGGTTGAGACAAGTCATAAAATGATAGAAAATGTCACACAGAAAGAGATTTATTTTCCTTTAGTCAGCTTGATGTCCAGTTGAAGTTATGATTATCTGCTACATATTTAGGCACCTATATACATCTTAGTTCTAATTAGAATTTCCAAGTATTTTGACTAGTGGAGTTCTTTTTTTTTTTTTCTGCTAAGGTCTTCCCCCAATTAAGAAAGATTTCTACATAGAATCTTCAAAGACAAAATTAATGTCACAAACACAAGTAGATAAGTGGAGGTAAGTAATTTTTATATATTGAAGTGCTTCAAGTGAACTCATTATATGGTTGTTTGCAGTTGGCTTAAATGTAACAGGGAAGTCAAATGCCAGCAAATTGAAATGGAAAATGTGGCATAATCTCACCTCTATAATAATTGAAACTACTAGACTGAGAATAAAGTGATAATTACCACTTAGGCTAATACAAGAATTTCTCAGCTCCACCTCAGATTAATCTGGGAGTGAAAGTCCTGTGGCATCCATTGTATGAATTTTTACATTTCTGTCAAAATTACAACAGCTTTGCAGATATAGCTTTCTTTAAATGTGTCATCATTTGTAAACAGTTTTTATTGTCCTTATTTTTACTCTCCTTTATGCTTTGTCAAAGAAGATAGGAATTTATAGTTCTATATACAATCTTTCTTTTATACTCATTTGTATTTGAATATGTAAGTTTTCTTGATGATGTATAATTTTTAAATACACGACAAGGTTGGGTTAGTCTTTCTGTTCGTGTACCAGATTAGTGTACTCTAAATGGACTGTGTTGTTAAGCTTTCCCTTTTTTCTTTAAAGGGAAGAAAACAATAATATAATATGTGATGACTTAAGAAAAAATGAAAAACGTATAATTCCCAATCCAGTATGTACATTTGAAGATGCATTTGATCATTATCCTGATGTTATGGCTAATATAAAGAAAGTAGGTTTCACAAGACCTACACCTATACAGGTATGCTATAAAGTGCTCAGTATATTGATTGGGGTATAATATTTGAGGGAGGGAGAGGACAGTTGTAGTAGGGAAATTACATTTAAAAGCTGTAGTTTGGGTTTTAATGCTTGTCATTTTTTTCAGTCACAAGCATGGCCAATAATATTAAAAGGAATTGATCTAATTGGCATTGCCCAAACTGGCACAGGAAAGACTTTGGCCTATTTAATGCCAGGATTTATTCATCTTGACCTGCAGCCAGAGTAAGTGTTCCTATTTTCCTATTTTGGTAGTGTAAAGGGTTGTTTTTTTTTTTTCAAAGATAGGATTCAAAGAGGAATTTTAAAATCTTTGGTAATTAGTGAATTAATCTAAAATCAACTCTTTTTTGTAAATAAATTATTTATTTTTAGTTTTCAACATTTATTTCCATAAGATTTTGAGTTCCGAATTTTTTCCCCATCTCTCCCCTCCCCTCATCTCAAGACAGCATGTAAATTGATATAGGCTCAACATATACATTCCTATTAAACCTATTTTGACATTAGTTATTTTGTAAAGAAGAATTAGAACTAATGGAAGGAACTGCAAGAAAGAAGAAACAAAAGAAAACAACAAAAGAAAAGGAGAGCAAATAATACGCTTTGATCTGCATTAAGATTCCATAGTTCTTTTTCTGGATATGGACAGCATCTAAAATCAATTCTTAAGGCACACTTGCATCTTTCCACAATAGGTTTCAGCCAGGTATAGTTTTAGGGCATTTGTAGCTAGAAAAGAGACCCCCACAGAAGTAATTACTTAAATAATTGAAATATTTTGGAAAAAACTACCAAAAAGGCAAAATATTTTCTCAAATATCCATCACCTGCAACCCTAAGTTAATATTTGGTATCAGATCTTATTCTTAAATTATAGACTTTCTCCAAGGTTTCTTCTCATACCTCTCCTACCTTTCTTCTAGTACCTGACAATACCATTCTCACATCTTCAACTATCACCCATGCATATGATTCCCAGTATTTTAATCTTTAGCTCACCACACCAATCTTTCACCTGACTTGTTGAATAAGTTTCTCCGGTACTAAAATCTTCTGCCTAACTTCCTGTTTCTGGATCCAATCACCATTCTCTCATATCCAGGCTTAAAGCTTTGGTCAGTTCAATTTCCCTTGCCATCTTCCAACCCTCTACCCTCATCTAATTAAATTACTAAGACTTGATTTTTATTTTTTTAGGGTAGCAAAGAGTGGTTCCTATTCAATATAACTAACACTTCTTGATCTGTACTCTAAAGAACCAGGGAGAAAAGGGGTGGTCCTGGAATGCTTGTGCTGACACCAACCAGAGAATTGGCTCTACAAGTCGAGAGTGAATGTAAAAAATACACTTATAAAGGGATTAAAAGGTAATTTGTATTTCTGGTTAGATTTTAATAGTATTTCTGTTCAATGGCTATTTGCCTTGATTGTTGCCATGAGTGTTTTTGTAACTAAACTTTGTGGAACTCTTGGCAGCATTTGTATATATGGTGGTGGAGACAGAAGAGGTCAGATTGAACATGTTACTAAGGGTGTAGATATTGTCATTGCTACCCCTGGTAGACTCAATGATCTTCAAATGAATGAATTCATCAACCTAAATAGCATCACATATTTGGTAAGTCTATTTCAAACTGGGATAGGAAGTAGAGAGGAATGAAAAAAAAAACCTTCCCCAAATCATTTTTAACTTTTGTTAATGTAAGACTCCAACAACCATTCATTTCATCCTCAGTGAAATATGTATATACTTATTGTGTTAGAAATTCAGTGAATTACAAAACCAATTTCCTAGAAACCCAAAGGAGATTTTATTGTGTATTACATGAAGTAACCATAACTTTTGTGGAGAAATCCTCTTAAGTCAGAGGTTCTTAACTTGGGGTATGTGGATAGATTATCAAGTGGTTCATAAATTTGAATGAGAAGAAATGACATCTTTATTTTCACTAACCTCTAACTAAAATGTAGCACTTCTTTTAATTATGAATGTAGAAGATAAACAGTATTCTGAGAAAAGATCCATAGGTTTCTTCTGATCACCAATGTAGTCCATGAAACAAAAGTTAAGGACCACCCACTGTCTTAAATGATTAATAGGTTTTAGGTTGAGGGTGGGGGGAAATGGGATCTAAAAGAAGTGTTTAAAATAGCATTTCCTATTTTTTGTAGGTTCTAGATGAGGCTGATAAAATGTTAGATATGGGGTTTGAACCTCAAATAATGAAGATTTTATTAGATGTACGGCCAGATAGACAAACTATTATGACCAGGTATGTAAATGACATTATTTCCATCCATAAAATAGAATTAATGAAATCTCTAGGCTCCTTTTGATTTCACAATTTCCTAATGTACTATGAAGGCCACTTCTTAAAGTTCTAAGTTATTTCCTTGAATAGTATTAACAAAGTAAATGCTAAACCTAGTTTAACAACTACATAATGAAACCATATTTTGGATTAACTGTCAGTTCTCAGTTTCTCCTGATTTCCCTTCTGACCTCCATATTCCTATATTACAAATAAGGAAACTGAGGCTGAGAGGTTAAATGATTTATTCAGGGTTACATAGCTAGTATGTGTCTCACCTAGGATTCAAACCCAGGCCTTCTTAAAGTCACAGCAGCATTTTATCTGCTTCCTCTGTAAGTCTCCCCACATTCAGCCTTACTCACCTACCTCCAAGCCATCCATCTCAAATTAATCTTCCTTACGTATAGAGGTAATTGTCTTTGCTTTTTCAAACCAGTCAATTGTTGCTCACCTAAATACTTTACAATATGATGCCACCTTGCCTATTCAGTCCTGGCTTTCTTAAATAAGATGAATTTTCAGCTATTCTTACTCAATACAATACAGCTTAATTCCTTTATCCAACTCTCAGCCTAATGAAATCCTGTCCCTCCTTTTATGACCCAGATCAAATGCTGCCTTCACGAAAACTTCCCTAATTACCTCTTGCCTATCCCCAGACAGAAAGAAAGAGAGGAAAGATCACTTCTCATTTTTGCCCTACTAGATTAGAAATTCCATGAGGTTGTAGCTCATGTTTTCATTATCTTTGTTATCTCTTCTAGAACGAAGTACAGTGGCTTACATTGTCACATAATTGTTTGAAGGCATTATCTAAAAATCTAACATGTTTCTATGTATCTTGTTTTCCTAAATCCAGTGCTACTTGGCCTGATGCTGTACGTCGCCTTTCACAAAAATATTTGAACAATCCAATGATTGTTTATGTTGGAACCCTGGATCTTGCCGTAAGCTTTTTCAGCTTGAGATTTGTATCACTTCTTTTGAGTGGATATAAGGCAGCTTGTGTTGCAAGTCAGTGAAGACAGATATAGCTTCCATATCCTACACAGAGAATGAAATCCTGTTGTTGACGTGCTGTGAGGAAAACATTTTAAGCAGACACACGGGGCATAATCCCTCCCCTTTCCTGTGTGTTTTAAGGGTCTGGGTGAGCTCCAACCACTAGATGGCAGGTATATATAGGCCCCAACATAATCCTGTTTCACTAGGGATTGAGACTCTTAACTTCTCTACCTCAGGCCTTTAGAACTCTAGCCTGTGGGACTCTTAACTGGCTAGCTTAAAAAAAATGGCATTATCTGATCAATTTTTAAAATGCAATTATTGTTTCCTGGTTCAGGAAAAAGAGAGACATAGTTCACATATTAAGGCCCACTTAGAGGAAATCAAGGCATAAGACATGCTTTGTTCATGTTTTTCAGTGGGAATAAAAAAACTGCTCTAAAGGAAGCAATGACACTGCTCATAGCAGTCTATTGCTTATGTTTTGGATGAATGAGGGCTAAATGGTAATAACTTATAAAACTGATAACATTTGTATTTTACTTTACCTGTTTTTCTAAATCTGAAATATTCTTTCCTTGAATGGTGTAGGCTGTGAATACTGTAAAACAGAAAATAATCATAACCACAGAACAAGAGAAGCCTTCTCTTATACATTCCTTCATTGATTCAATGAAGCCTGAAGATAAAGTAATTATTTTTGTAGGGAGAAAACTTATGTGAGTACTATCTTCCATTTGTCTGCCTGTCTCAGAAACATCAAATTTTACTGATCTTATTTGTGTGTCTTTTGGCCATAGAAACCAAAATCTAATTGAGAAGTATGGCCTTGATAAGATACCACCCTCTTAAGTTGGTAGTGGTACTGCTAGAAATTCCTGTAATTTAGTAGTTCAGATTGCATTTTAATTTGTCAATTTTATGTTTAGTGCTGATGACATATCCAGTGATCTGAGCATTAAGGGTTTACCTGTACAGTCATTACATGGTAATCGAGAACAAAGTGATCGTGAACGAGCATTGAACGAGTTTAAAACAGGTATATCTATACAATGATTACTATTCCACTGAATCATGTTTCAGATTCGTTTTGTCTTTAAACTAATTCTAGACTCAGGATTTTAATTACCATTGACGGAGGTACATAAGGCCTGTAAGCACCAACAAAAAATAGTACCCACCTAAAAAGTGTAAAAACTCAGATGTGGATTGAAGATATCCCTTGGTGCTTAGTAAATTGAGCAGTCTGGTTTGCATGTAAAATATATATACATATATATTATATATACATATGCACACATATATACATAATTAAATACCTGTTTTTGGTTTTTCAATTTTTCTAGGAATAGTAAGAATATTGATAGCTACAGATCTGGCATCACGAGGTCTTGATGTCTTAGACATTACCCATGTTTTCAACTTTGATTTTCCTCGAAACCTTGAGGAGTACGTCCATAGAGTAGGACGTACTGGAAGAGCTGGGTGAGGGTGTTATGCTTTAACACTTAGAACTTTTCACTTTTCATTACTCCTAGCCAAGCATATCTCTGTACTGTTCCTTGCATATAAGTTGCTTGTTCCTACCTATAACTTTATAACACATCTCCTCTGCCTGTTATTCTGTTATTTTATGTCCTTTTCAAACTTGCTTACTAACCTGAAACTCCATTAGTAAATCAACAAAACAATAACATACCTTATTTTAATATTACATAGAAAACATGGTAAGAGTTTATTTACATGAGACTCTTCTCTTGAAGGCATACAGGGGAATCAATTACCCTACTAACTAGGAACGATTGGAAAATAGCTGGTGAATTAATCAATATTTTGGAGAGAGCCAACCAGGTGAGGAGATATAATTTGGTATTTCCTAATTTCTTTAATTTTTGTTTATTAGCAAATATGAAACAAATGTTTTAGTTATATTAGCAAATGTGAGAGTATATTTAATTTTGTAAGATTTCATGACAAGATTTGCAAATTTACTATTAAGAAATCAGTTTTTGTGTTTTTAATCTCAATAATTAACATCTCTTTTAAAATTCCCCTCAAATTGCTACTGAGAATGTGGAATAGCACTAGCACTTCAGAAAGCAATTTTTCATAAAATTCAGATAACCTAATGTACTTAATGATTTCAGGAAATTCCAAACGAGCTTACATTAATGGCCAAACGATATAAACAACACAAACAGAAAAAAGATGAAGAGAGAAACATGGCAAGAACTCATGGAAGGACAAGAAACGTTTATTGATCCTGGAAGCATATACAATCCAGGGAACAACTTACTTTTGGGGTTGTTGCCTTTCAACTTAGCAAAAGCTGAACAATTAGCATCGGAAGAAAGACAATTCTGGGGTTTAGAGGTTTTTTTTTTTTTTTTGCTTTTTTAAAAAAATATTGTCAGGAAACAAGAGTATTACAAATTTCTGATTGAACATTGAAAGTTCAGATCTGAATGGAAGTAAAGAAAATCTGACTTGCATATGAAGGGAACGGTTCAATCGTCAATATAATGTTTAAAGAGATCATCTTGGAACATCTTAGAACATTTTTGTACTTCGTTTAATAAAATCAAAAGTATTTTAAAAACGTTTGGGCTCTTTGGAGTCTTTCCTTTTTCTGATTCCTTTCTCCCTCTCCTCCCTCCAAAAAAACAAAACTTTCTTGCATAATTAGACTACATATGCTTAAAAAAAATTAGAACTTTGCCTTCCTTCTCATGATGCATCTTTGTTTCTGTTACCCTGTTTCAGCATGGCTGGATCTGTGGCTTTTGTCTTTACTAAAGGGCCTTCCCAGTGCTTTGGAAACAGTTTCTAAATTAGGTCCACCTCAAGTGACCACCTCCTGCTTTCTATGTAGACTTCCCTAGGCTGTACTTTTGCTCCTGCAGGGAATCATGCCTCCTGGGCCTTACAGGACACATCATCACTTGCCACAAGGTGTTAGACCCTTAACAATCTAATGACTTTCCTCCCTCAACAGACTTCTCTCCAGCCACTGATAATATTTCTGTCCTCAGTGGTTATCGTACTCTTATCCCATCACACTCTTCCTCATCCTAGTGATTCTGAACTCGAACTTTTCATGGTACAAATCCCATTCTTCATCCTTCACTGTCTCCTCAACCTAACCACCTTATCCCATGACCCACTCCAAATCTACCCATACCTTCCACTGTGCTCTCTAGAACTAGAGCTCCATAATTAACAAACTTGATTTCATCTTAAACCTTTTCCTTTCTCACTCATTCCATTTTCTTGCACTCAGAACTGCCTCGTTCCTGATTTGCTGTATCCTTGGCCATCCTTTTCAGTACCCAACGTACTGTTATTCTGCACACACACCCATACTGGTTGTGGTGAGAGAGTCAGAATAATCCGTGCTCCCTTTTGCCACTTTGGGACTTTCCCTTTACTACCCTTACTCAGTAAACTTTCCTCCAAGGTCCAGATCATTCCATATTTATCCCCAATCAATATTGTGGTAATCATTATCTTCCGACATTCAATACATTTAGGCACTTACCTTCTTTTCTTAATGGGCTCACAGTCTTCTTTACGACCCTCATACTAGGGGACTTCAACATACATACCGTTATTCCCTCGAACACTCTCAATTTCCTGGTTCCTTAATTTGCTTATTTCCCATCACCTACTCATCAGACCTCACCTATACACAAAGATGATCATACCCTTGATTTAGCCACAAATGTCCCACTTGCATGTTTGTGAACACTGAAATTCCTTTATTTGGTCATAATCTTTTACCATTCCATCTTCACCTATGTCTTAGACCTCTAACCCTAATCTTACCTCTCAATGTGACCTCCAATCTCTCCACCCCTCAGTTCTTTTCTGGGTCATCACCCCTGCACTGGCTTCACTCTTTTCCCCCATCTTGACCACTTGGTAAACCAGTTCAATTCTACACTATTCTCTATCCAGGAGTCCCTTGGCCCCCTTTATTAAAGGAGCCCGAACTTCGGATTACTCCCATCTGCTGCCTTCTCTCCTATTCATATGCTGCTGAACAGAGCTAGAGAAAGTCATAAAAACCATATTGATTAGGTCCAAATTTGTCTAATTTGGATTACTCCCATCTGCTGCCTTCTCTCCTATTCATATGCTGCTGAACAGAGCTAGAGAAAGTCATAAAAACCATGTTGATGAGGTCTAAATTTGTCTAATTTGAACTGAGCCATCACTGAATAAAGGCAAACATTCTGTTCCTCTCTAATCAATTCATTATCCTACTCTCCACAGCACCTATTCCAAACATTGTCTCTCTTTCAACCTCACCTTCTGCCCCTCAACCCCCTCAGCTAAAAATCTTGACTTCATACTTCACTGAAAAAAATTTAGATCATTGGCTGCGCGAGTGTCATCACCCTCTTCTCCTTGATACTCTTTTCTGTAGTTTTTAATACCACTGCTATCTCCTGGTTCTCCTACCCATATGATCACTCCTCAGTCTCCTTTCCTGGATCTTCATCTAGGACACACCTGCTAATTATGGAAGATCCCAGGACTCTATCCTAAGACTTCTCTTCTCCCTCCATAGTAATTCACTTGGTGATCTTAGTTTGATTTAGTTATCATGTCTATGCAGATGATTCCCAGATCTATTTCTCTACCCCATCCTCTCTTCTGACCTCCAGTCTCCTATCTCCAGTTCCCTCTTGGACACCTCAAACTGTATGTCCTGTAGAAATCTTAAGCCCAACATGCCCAAAACTGAACATATCTTACCCCCCCCAAACCCTCCCCTCTTCCTAACTTCCCTGTTACTGTAGGATACCACCATCCTCTCAGTCACACAGGCTTACAATTCCAGTGTCATCCTCAACTCTCCACTTCCTCTCACCATTCATATTCAATCTATTGCCAAGTCCTGTTGATTCCCCTTTTGCAACATTTCTGCTATATGTCCCCTTCTCTCCTCTGACACAACAGCAACCCTGGTGCAGGCTCTCATCACATCACATCTAGATGCTGCAATAGCCTTCTGGTGGGTCTCCCTGCTTCATCTCTCCCTACTCCATTCCATCCTCCCCTCTCCTACCAAGTGATCATCCTGAAGCACAGGTCTGACAATATTACCCCTCCCCGCAGTCAATAAAATCCAGTGGCTCCCTGTTATCTCCTGAACAAAATATAAAAGCCTCTGAATGGCTTTTAAAGCCCATCACAACTTGGACCCTTCCTACCTTTCCGATCTTCTTACACTTGACTTCTCTCCACATATTCAGATTCAGTGACAACCAACTTGATATCACTCAGTCACAAACGTTCCATCTCTTGACCGTGTCTCTTCACTGGCTCTCCGTCATGCCTCCTACCTCATTATCATCTTCTGCCTTTTCTAGCTTCCTTCAAGCCTTTCTCACTCCCCTTCTGTGTCTTCCCTCTGAAATTACCTCCAATTTAATATATGTGTATGTATGTGTGTGTGTGTGTGTGTTTGTATACCTTACATGCACATAGCTGTTTACCCCCACTAAAATGTGAGTTCCTTGAAGGAGGGACTGCTTTTGCCTCCAGCTCTTAGTACATAGCAAGAGTTTAATAAATGTCTGCTTTTGACATTTTCTGACAAGATTTCTTTGTAGCCATATTCATATATACAGAAACTCTAGTGACTTGACAAATCTGTAATCAGTTCTTTCTAGGGCTTGTTTCCTTCAAAAATCCATCTCTTTTTTGAAGGTTTTGTCCTCTTAATTCCTTCAGCCACATGTCCTGTACATGTTGCCTTTTATAATTAATCTTAATCATTTCATAACTCTTCTTGAGGACACTGAGGTCATTTCATACTTTTGCTCTCCTGACATCTCACCTTTGACCACACAATACATGACTGAATTAAATTGATTTGTAGTCTTCATCCTAATCGGACAGCATTTAGATTTTTAACTATGATTTCTTTACTGTTTACTGAATAATTTATTTTTAAAATTCCAATTTAAAAGTGACTGCCATCTCAATGACAAATTTTTAAGCTTTTATTGATTTTTGTTTTTTTTACCCCCCATTCTTTGCCCCATTCTACCAAAAGAAGAATATGTCTATTCTCTGAGAAGAAAATCCTATAAAATTACAATTTCAGAAATTACTTTATTAAGGTGACAGCAACTATAAGTCTTGGTTCTTTTCTAAGCATAATCTTATTCATCAAATACTGGAAACATATTGTTTCTTTGAAATTCAATTTGCCTTAACAGAAATACTTGACTGGTTTTACCAATGAGGTCACGACTAAACAGATTATATCTAGGAATAAAAAAATGTACAAGTTGTTCTACCTGCAGACACCGAAGAAAATAAGTCACACAGTTATCAAAACACTGTTCTAGGTCTCTTAATTGCCATTGATTGTCATCTGGTTTCTGAGCACATAAGTGAAAGAAAGCAGTTTTCATGTGATAAGAATTGAAATTTTTTAGCTCCTTCCGGTTCTCAAACTTTTTTTTCAGCTGTTCAAGAAGATATTTCATCAACTTTAAACATTTTTTCCTGTTAAAGAAAAAGCAATTATAAGACTGGCACTTTTGCTGTCTTGTATTCTAATAGTTGTGAGCTAATTTCTCCCAGAATAGATTACAAAGGTTTGTGGGTGTGGACTATGTCTTATATGGCAGTGCTTAATATATCGTGGGTACAGAATATACCATATTGTAGGGTTTGGGATTCTTTTTATTTTCGAGGGGAGGATACAAATTGTTTATTCATATATCAAAGCCTGTCGGGGGTGGGGAACCTGTGGCCTCCATGCCACATGTGGCCCTCTATATCCTCCAGTGTGGCCCTTTGAATCTCTACCTCAAGGCCGCAGGTTCCCCACCCCTAGTTACACAATCTTATTAATAGCAAGTTAGTTTTTCTGATTTAATACTACTCTGTGCCATATTTAAAATATTAAAACCTGCTTTAAAAGGCAATAGAAAGTGGATAGATCACTGACCCTGGAGTCAGGAGGACCTGAGTTCAAATCCGGCCTCAGACACATAACACTTACTAGCTGTGTGACTCTGGACAAGTCACTTAACCCCACTGCCTAGCAGGGGGGGAAAAAAGGCAATTGAATAATTCCTCTAAACCTAGGCTTAAAGTATGCTGAATTAACTCTTTGGGGGCACACTAACACTAAGATTTGTAGAGAAAGCCTTAATAGATTTTTAAAATCAATTCAAGAAAGCATGTGCTACTAAAAGGAATTGCTAATCCCAGGGAAATATAAAGAACAACAAAAACAAAACAAAATAAACAGTTCTTGTTCTACATTCTAATGACCATCTAACAAAGAAGCATGAAAACCAGACACACAACTCACCTGCAACACGGCACTCCATTCATTTCACAGCATGTTTTAGAACTTCCATGATTTCTTAGTATGTCCTTCTCAATGTGTGAGAAGGAAAGCCGCCATGTATTTGCTGAATTTTTAAAAAAGTAAATAGAAAAGTGTCAGTTTACCAAAATATCATGTTCCATTTATGTGGGTAAACAGCCAATCAATTCTATCCAACAAAATATCATCCTAATCTTAGGAAACGTCTGTAACTTTTAATTTCATACACGTCATTAAAAGCTCAGCAAGTCACGGTTATTTTACATGGAATTAAAGGGAACTTGAAAGGTCATCTTGCCCCACTCCCTTATTTTAGAGATGAAGGCACTGGGCCCAGAGAAACTGACTTTACTGAGGTCTAGCATCTAGTCAATTAGTGGCAGAACCAGAACTAGAAACTAGCTCTCCTGACATTTTGTCTAATTACATGCTAATAATCTCTAATATTTTGAAGACGAGCAAAATTTTAAGTAGCTTGGAATTATGTTTCAGGTTTATTTGTACCTAAATCAGTAGATATTTAGAATTAAAGAGTCATCTTTTATGTTGAAGCCAACTCATCAAAAAACACACAATCCATTTATAATTAATTGAAAGTTTTAAAATGTATTTTGGTAGCTAAGTGGTGCTGTGGATAGCATGCTGGGCCTGGAGTTGATAAGACCTGAGTTCCAATCTAGGCTCCAACACAAGCTATGTAACCCTGGGCAATGTTTGCTTCAGTTTCTTTAATTATAAAATGGGAATAATAATAACATCTGCCTACCAAGATTGTTGTAAAAATCAAATGAGATATTTGTACAGCACTTAGCATAGTGTCTGGCATATAGTAGGTGCTTAATAAATGAGCTTTTTTTGTTAGGATACTCATGTAAAGGTAAGTAGGTTGAAATAGACCACTCTCTCTCAGGCTAACCAAAATATTCTTAAGTAGTTGGCTTTTAAACCCTATTACAGAAGGTACAAAACACTGCAGCGTAACTTCAATTGATTTCTAAATATGTGTATGCACTTTCTAGTAACCATAGAAAAAAGGCTGGTTGTATAATTAGAAAATTTGTGTGAAATATACAGACTTCTCTGAAAGATTATTTGGACTTAAAGTGTACTGAAAGTGGTATGAATCTAGTTAGAGCTGTGTTCTAGATGCAACTTTGCTGTTTGTGGGAGAGGTGGGAACCTAGATCTGGCATCTGGACACCTGGGTTCAAATCCTAGTTCCACACTTACTGGCTGTGTAACCATAAGTAAGTCATTTAATATCTCTAAACCTCAGTTTCTCTAATTGTAAAAGATGGATACTGCCCTCATCACAGTTTCCTTGTGAGGAAAGGATATATAAAAGTGAGTTATTTCAGGATAAGGATCACTAAGGTGAAAGTCAGAGAAAAATCAAAGAACTACATAAATATAAGTTATTTCCAGTAAGAAGTATTATTTTAACTTGATGTTTCCAGAAGAAATTCCATTTTAATCAGAGAGAAATTTTGGTGACCCTCTGGTTATCATATTACATTCCATATCACGTTTCATATGATTTCCATGTAGCAATTAATGGCATACAAGACATTTTAGCAGCCTCTCTGCCTCACTGCTAAGTAATCAACATGATTTATAAAGTGGTTTTGATAGTTTTCTTTTATTTTAATCATAAGGGACAGACAGAAAGCATGGGAAGTATCTCTAGCTTAGATTTCATGAAAATATATCCAGCATTGAAAGGACGGAAAATTACTAACCTTCTGTTTGATTGCACCAATCCTGTTTGGACCCAAAGTTCTTAACCTTTTTGTGTCACAGACTTTTTGGTAAAGTCTGTGGACCCCTCTTCAGAATCATATTTTTAAATGCATAAAGTAAACTATAATATATATATATATATATATATATATATATGCTTGAACGAATGTTAATAGTATTTAATATTCAAAATACCTTGAGAACCATTTCCTCCCTTTGCAGGCTTAGGTACAAGGTAAACTGGCTTGTATTTAAATTCCACCTTTACTTTTCTTCCTAGCCAGTTTTCAATTGTTAGGCCCCCCTGTGTACTTGGGGGCCAGCTGCTGCTCGATTCCAAAGCTAGGACTATGTCCACTGATATTTCTTCGGGTTTTCTAATTAGGAGGGTTACTGCTGGGCTTGTAGGCTTTTTTCTCTCCACAATAATGTCCATGTCTGTTTAAATGTTTAAAAGAAAAAATATAAAGTTTGCATAATTTAATTCAATAACATTTATTAAGTGGCTGAGCATTATGCTAGACACTAGCAAAGAGAAAGAGTTTGTTAATTATGGTACCTACCCTTTCTGTCTCTTAGCAGACTCTGGCACATATCAAAATAACTATACCTATATACTTACATGATTTGACCAATGTGCTAACTCCCTTTTCTAGGGAAAATCGCAATCCCTCAGTGCCTATTCATCCTGTGCAATCTTGCTTCCCAAAAATCTCTTAAGAAGATTCACTCAACACACTGGAGGCCTTCCTCTGGTTCCTTTAACATTTCTAGGTGTACCAGTATCATGGTGTGGCCGTTCATCTGTGGTCTCCTCACAATTTTTTTAAAGAAATCATGCAGCACTTTTAATGATCTCAAGTTGCCAATCCTCACAAAATATTTTATACAGATAGATACATGTACACACACATATGTACACATACATACATACATACATACATACATAAACAGACACAGACACATATATGTATGTGTATACACATCCATACATATATGTGCTTGAATTGTTAAGGTACTATTTCCTTTATATAAACAAAGTAGGGAAAATGTTTATGCCAAATATGAAAGATGAAAATGTTGACATCTCAAATATATAGCTAAACATCAAAATTCTACAATTGTGATTCCCATTCAACAATGTATAAATGGCCAGTGGATGAAAACAGAAAAAAAAATTTTTTTTATGTTTTTATTGACATAATTTGTTTTTTACATCACTTTTATTTCCAAATATGTCCGTTCCCACCCTCACCAAGTCTTCCTCCTCCACAGAGCCATCCTTTTTAACAACCAAAAAAACAGTTTAACAATTCTCTGAACAATAACAAAATAACATGTACAACACAGATGGAAGAATGCTCACCAAAAGCGTTTGCCACTGTCATGAAGGATATTCAGCACAGTTCAAATTGAAGAGGGATTCCCTACATATGTAAAGTCTTCCAAATGCTGCTACTTGTAGATGTTGCTGGTTGTCTCAAGCCTTGAAACATTTCACAGTCTCCTGTATGAGACCTGTTACCACTCAAGGGAGTTTGGCCTAACAATCAAACAATCAACCTGGTCACAAGTAAGAGGTCCAAGGGCAAGAGGTTATAGAGAACTGAAGACTTTAATGATGTCTGGAACCATCAGTAAAGGAATTTCTGCCTTTCCTAAGTCAGATAATCTCTTTAAATGAGGTAGGATCATCCATGGCGCAGGTTAGAACAGACAATATATAAAGACCCGAGGTACAATCACTCCTAGGAGTTTCCCAATGGCCACTCCTCTAATGATCCCACTGTGAAGTTTGTCACCCCCTGTTATCATCCCAGTGTGGGCACTCAGGGCTGTAACTGCTTGGATATCCTCAAGGACAAGTGGTCAGCCCTATGTGATATCACAACCATCCTATTGTCCATCCAGAGTCTCCTGTGAGAACACAGTATTGACTACACTAAGCTCTAGATAAACACCACAGCCTTTCCAAAGTACCTGCTGAAAAACTAGATGAAACAGGTGACTAGCCAACAGCCCTGATCCTGGATGTCAAGTCTCTCTTTCCTTCATCTGATATATATGGGTGTATTTCTGTCTGTCTATCTCTCTGTCTGTCTGTGTGTATGCATACACATGCATCTTTCCCACCTTCATGATCTGTCTTCTCCCTCTTCTGTACAGGACTCTCTATCATAGATTGTTTTCTCTTTCTTTTGAAAGGGAAAAAAATAATTTTTCAAAAAAGGAAAGTTTAAAAAAAAAAACAAAGATTCTTGTCCAGACACATCATTGATGTATAAATAAAATTTTTAAAGCTATTTTCCAAATTACGATGTGCAGTTAGGACAACTTCCATCAGTACATATATCTTGAATAAACACTGTAAATAGAGAGTAATTTGGACACAGAATTAAATAGGTTAAAAAGAGTGGACTGAATTGCCTTTGGGAAATTTTAAAGTTTCATTAACGACCCCAGACTTCTCCCAGAAACAAAGATCCATCTTTTTAATACCAATATGCTACAGGTAATATTATATGGTTGTGATTTATGCAATACTATAGTCTATGAAAAAATGTAAAGTGAGCATCACTAACAGAGTAATAGAGAAATACTTGTGTTAGGCAACATATAACAAATACAGAATAAAAAGAACTGGAGTAAAAAAATGGCATCCAAACAAAAGTATGATCAAAAAGGGAAGATGGGCTGATCAAAAGTAAGAGTGAGATAAAACCAAAAGACAGTCTTGGGTGCACCACTGGTATCTTCATGATATTAATATAAAATGAGGACGGCCTTTAGCCTGTTTAATTGATTCCTATTTTCACACCCACACCCTTACATTTATGGGAATACAGGGATAAGAGTAATACAGAATAGGCAAACACAGATGGGTTGTGCTACACATTGCTGGAGGCAACATGAAAATCAATGAGGTCACAGTACAATCTCATTCAGTATCTACCATATCTAGAACCTCTTTATTCTTCTTGAAGAAAGTATTCATGATGCATAAGTGTGGTGCTTCTGAGTAGTCTACATTCCTTTTAACCCTTTAATTTCTTTATCTTGAACCACATTATATGACTTAATATGAACTTTATTTGCTAGGCAGAAGAGTTTTGAGCAGAAAAGTGACAAGATTATGCATAATAAAATTAGTCTGGTAATAATATGAAGAACAGATTGAAAAGGAAAAAGAATGGAAACAGAAAGTTCTCTTTGGAAGTTTTTTCAGTACCCTAGGCAAGTAGTAATTATGTCTTTTATTAGCATGGTGGTAGAGAGAATAGAAAAGAGATGTGAGAAATATTATGAAGATAGAATTGATAGGATTTAGTAACCAATTGGATATAAGAAGTAAAGGAAAAGGAAGCATCAAAGATTTACTGACAGTTTCAAACATGAGAGTTTGGGACAATATGGTACCAGTAACCAGAATGAATGAAGTTATCAGTACCATGCACCAGAAAGATCAAGGACAATAAAAACTAAAATAAATCATTGAAATGGGCAATTAGGAAGTCACAAAACAACCTTAGAGAGAGTAATTTCATGAGAGTAGTAGAATTGAAATAATTCATTCCTTAAAATTCCCCCTACCACCAATACCCAATAGAACCTTCCCCTGTAATAAACATGTGCAATCAAAATAAATTAATATATTGACCTTATGTGAAAATATATCTCATTCTGAACTTACTGTCCACCACCCATTCACCAACAGGCAGGAGACATATATAAATAATTTCTATTTTACTTTATTTTTTGGAAAGAGAAAAAACTCTTGTAACAAATAAGCAAAGACAAGCAAAACAAATGCATGCTGTGGCCGTGTCCAAAGATATGTCTCTGTAATTCTGGGTCTAGAGAAGAAAGTTGAAGAATTGTATAATCAGGATAGGAAATGCCTCATAAACATCCTTTTTTTTTAAAATTAATTTATTTATTTTTAGTTTTCAACACTCACTTCCACAAGATTTTGAGTTCCAAATTTTCTTTCCATCTTGTCTCTCCCCCCACCCCAAGATGGCATGCATTCTGAATACCCCTTCCCCTAATCTGCCCTCCCTTCTATCTCTCTCCCCCCTTCTCTTATCCTCTTCCCCTTCAATTTTCCTGTAGGAAAAGATAGATTTCTATACCCCTTTTCCTGTATATCTTATTTCCCAGTTGCATGTGAAAACAATTTTTTTTAACATTTGTTTTTAAAACTTTGGATTCCAAATTTTCTCCCTTCTTTCCTCCCCACCCACCCTCATTAAGAAGGCAAGCAATTCAATACACATTATACATGTGTAGTCATGCAAAACACTTCCTTGTTGTGAAAAACTAAGTATATTTCCCTTAATCTTATCCTGCCCCCCATTTATTCTATTCTCTCTTTTGACCCTGTCCCTCCTTAGAAGTGTTTACTTCTGATTACCCCCTCCCCCAATCTGCCCTCCCCTTTATCATCCTCCTGCTCTCTTGTCCCCTTCCCCTCTATTTTCCTGTAGGGCAAGATAGATTTTCATACCCAATTGAGTATGTATGTTATTCCCTCCTTAAGCCAAAATGGATGAGAATAAGATTCACTCATTCCCTCTCACCTTCCCCTGTTTTCCCTCCACTGTAAAAGCCTTTTCTTGTCTGTTTTATGTGAGATAATTTACCCCATCCTACCTCTCCCTTTCTCCTTCTCCCAGTATAATCCTCTCTCACCCCTTAATTTTATTCTCCAGATATCACCCCTTCATCTTCAACTCACCCTGTGTCCTCTATTTATCTATCTATCAATATATATACATACATAAAATTTTTTCCCTCCAACTACCCTAATACTGACAAAGGTTTTATGAGTTACAAATATCATCTTTCTATGCAGGAATGTAAACATTTCAACCGTAATAAGTCTCTTACGATTTCTCTTTCCTGTTTACCTCTTCATGTCTCACTTGAGTCTTGTAGTTGAAAGTCAAATTTTCTATTCAGTTCCATCTTTTCATCAAGAATGCTTGAAAGTCCTCTATTTCTCTGAATGCCCATTTTTTCCCCTAAAGGATTATACTCAGTTTTGCTGGGTAGGTGATTCTTGGTTGCAATCCTATCTCCTTTGCCCTCCATGATATTATATTCAAAGCCCTCTGGACCCTTAATGTAGAAGCTGCTAAATCTTGGACTATCCTGATTGTGTTTCCACAATACTTGAATTGTTTCTTTCTGACTGCTTGCAATATTTTCTCCTTGACCTGGGAACTCTGGAATCTGGATACAATATTCCTAGGAGTTTTCCTTTGGGGATCTCTTTCAGGAAGTGATTGGTGGATTCTTTCCATTCCTATTTTGCCCTCTGGTTCTAAAATATCAGGGCAGTTTTCCTTGATAATTTCTTGAAAGATGATATCTAGGCTCTTTTTATGATCATGGCTTTCAGATAGTCTAATAATTTTTAAATTCTCTCTCCTGGATCTATTTTCCAGGTCAGTTGTTTTTCCAATGAGATATTTCACATTGTTTTCTATTTTTTCATTCCTTTGGATTTGTTTTACAGTGTCTTCATTTCTCATAAAGTCACTAGCTTCCAATTGCTCCGTTCTAATTTTTTTTTTTTTTTTAGGCAATTGGGGTTAAGTGACCTGCCCATGGTCACGCAGCTAGTAAGTGTCAAGTGTTTGGTCGGGGGCCAGATTTGAACTCAGGTCCTCTTGACTTCAGGGCTGGTGCTCTATCCACTGCTCCACCTAGCTGCCCCTCCATTCTAATTTTTAAGGAAGTATTTTCTTCAGTAAGCTTTTGGACTTCCTTTTCCATTTGGCCAATTTTGCTTTTTAAGGCATTCTTCTCCTCATTGGCTTTTTGGACCTCTTTTGCCATTTGGGTTAGGCTATTTTTTAAGGTGTTATTTTCTACAGTATTTTTTTGGGTCTCCTTTAGCAAGCTGTTAACTTGTTTTTCATGATTTTCTTGCATCACTCTCATTTCTCTTCCCAGTTTTTCCTCTACTTCTCTTACTTGTTTCTCAAACTCCTTTTTGAGGTCTTCCATGGCCTGGGACTGATTCATATTGTTCTTGGAGGCTTTGGATGTAGGAGCTTTGACTTTGTTGTCTTCTTCTAGTTGTATGTTTTGATCTTCTTTTTACCAAAGAAAGATACTATGGTCTGACTTTTTTTGTGCCTTTGTTTGCTCATGATCCCAGCCAATTACTTGCGTTTTAAACTCTTTGTTAAGGTAGGGGTCTGCTTCCAATGTGGAGAATGTATTGTCCCAAGCTTCAGGGATTTTGTGCAGCTGTTTTCAGAGATATTTCTAGGGACCTGTAAATTTTCAGTTCTTCCAAGGTGGTATGATAAGGGGCAAGGTGTTTACTCCTTTCCTGGCCTGGGCTCTGGTCTATGAGTGACCACAAGCACTCTTTCCTGCCTTGGAACTATGAGGAGGATTTCCTCTTCACTACCACTACAAACTCCACCACGCCAACGTTCCTCCTCATCCCAGGACCACCACTCAGAACTGTGACCCAGATCCAAGCACAGGCAAAGCAAGAGAATCCTGCACCAGCAGAGAGATCCCTTCAATCCCCCTCTGATCAGCCGCTCAATTGCCCCTCAGTCTGTGGGCTGGAAGCTCTGAAAGCAGCCACTGCACTGAGGCCATGCTTGGGGACTGGGACTAGGACTGAGCTTCTGTCTCACCACAGTCACAGACTTTTCCCACTGACCTTCTAGGTTGTCTTCAGCATTCATGGGTTGAGAAGTCTGGAAACTGCCACAGCTGACCATGATTCAGTCCTCTGAGGCCTGTTCCAGGTTCACTGAGACCTGTTCTGCCTGCGCGCCCACGCCAAACTGCGCTCCTCTCCCCACTCAGCTCGATGTACCTTTCCAATCAACCATCCAGGTTGTCTTGGGCTGGAAATTTGTTTCACTCTGTCTTTTTGTGGGTTCTGCTGCTTTAGAATTTGTTTAGAACCATTTTTTACAGGTATTTGGAGGGGTTTGGGGGAAAGCTCAAGCAAGTCACTGCTTTTACTCCACCATCTTGGCTCTGCACCCCACCCCATAAACATTCTGAAGCCTCCTAAGGAAGAGAAAAATCTATGAACCAATGCTGAAGTTATTGAGAAATGTGCCTAAGCAGTTTCCTATGGAAATACAAAGAAAAAACCAACCATATAATCAAGTATTTTTATGGTACTTCCTGGCAGGCTGTGAAGATGAGTTAATATTTAAGTGTTATGTGTTGCATAATTCTATGATCATAATAATAGGCAAAGAGCCCATATAATCTGTACAAGCAGAGCTTTAACAATAGAGGATACTAACTTCTTACCTTTAATACTGTTTACTTCTGCCTTAATGATTTTCCTAAATTGAGACATCAGCTTAGAAGCTGATAATATTTCATTATCTAAAAAACTGGTCAGAGGCTTTCCTTTTGGATTTCTTTTAAACTTCACAAAGTAAAAAGCACCAGTGTCATCATATTCTTCTAATTCAACTCTGGAAACTTTCAGTTTAAGCATGACATCAAATTCATTTGGAGCAGAAATCTGTGAAACAGCAAAAAAAAAAAATTACACAGACATGTATGATGTATTTTTTAATGTTTTGCTGAGTTACCAAAACTTGAATTTTCATTTACTAATTCAATTTGCAAAATTCCTAAGATTAAAATTTTATCACACAAGATTTTGTCCCCAAATCAGTTTTTCCAGGTTTAATTTTCCATTAAAAATTTTTTTAAAGAAAGATATTAAGATCATAGAATGGGCTAGGACCTTGAATAAATCTTTATTTAGTCTTTCTTTGCTCCTCACTATAGTAAGGAATCATGTTCTTCATTTGTGAAAATAATACTAGTCACCCACTATTGATAAGATTTATATCTCAAGTTGTTCTTCCTATATTGAGAATGGACTTACCCAGGTTGTCACTCTTCCTTGAAGGTGGTAAATAATGAGACAGACTCCCTTTGTCTTTAATCTTTTGCTCCCCTCGCTGGTATTCAATATAGGTCCTTACATGTCCAGACCCATAAGGAGGTAAGATGGGACAGTGGAAAAAGTCAAAAAACCGGAGTTCAAAAGTCATCTCTTTGCTCACTATCTATATGACTTTGGGCAAGTCATTTTAACCTCCTTGTGCCTCAGATGCCTCATCTGTAAAATGAAGAGATTAGACCAGATAGCTTCTGAGGTCTCTTCAGTTCCAGTCCTGCTCTCTTTCCATTCTGCCTCATTAAAACTTCCCAAGATAGGATCTGGGATCCTCATTTATCCTAAATTAGAAGTGACTGACTTGTAACGGCCTACTGTAATGTAACTCTTATGGCCTATTAATCTTATGGAGAAAGAGAAGAAGGGAGCTATTCCCATTTGAACATGTGATCAAGGACTAATGCCAAATGAACATATAAATCTTAGAATTTCAGACATTCACCCATTGGGTGAGGGGATAATTTTGTGTTGTTGTTTTTAACAAGGGAGCCTTCCTCTTCTGACATTGCTTTCTTATAGGCTCCTGTTCTTGGATGAGGCTTCCTTAATTTTAATCACTTTTCTGATTCCTACCTTTTTTATTTTTATTTTTTTGGTCTGTCTTTTCATCAATCTAGTTATGGCTCTTAGCAGAGGAATTAGGGTAGTAGTAGCTTTAGCCCTATTTGGATGGAAAGTTACATAAATCTTTCCAACTATGCAAAAAATTGGGATGTGGTCTAGGAAAATTTCCAGCTTGTTAATTATTTATCAGTATTTAGCAATCCAAAGAATGAGAATAAATGTGTTAGTGTAAGAAGGAAAAAAAGGGAGCCTTCTCAGTCCTTTTGAAATACCATGTTGGTGTTTAATATTCTACCCATGAGCAAGGTCATTGGAACACATTTTTGAGACAGGTGATTTGGCTTAGGGATACAGTCCAGTGTCTCATAGCAAGAGAATTAACTACACACATAGGGTTCTATATCATTATCCTCCCTACGACATTGGCTAAGGATAGATTTTCTAATGTCTTCTCTTGATTATCAAAAAAATTTAAGTCCCCAAATTAGAGTCAGGAAGATCAGAACTCAAATCTAGCCTCAGAAACTTATTAATTGTATGACCCTGGGCAAATCACTTAACCTAGGTCTGCTTCCATTTCTTTAACTTTAAAATGGAGATAATAAATAGCACCTACCTCCCAGGTTGTTGGGAGGATAAAATGAGATAATTTTTGTAAAGTGCTTTGCACAACTTAAAGAACTATTTAAGTGCTAGCTAGTATTGTTATTATTTGACATACTTTGAAATCTTGCCTTATTTATACATTTGTAGTCCCCAACCTTATTTTTTTTTCTGGTTTGGATTCTCTTTTATTTTGGACTTTGCAGGTACTTTTGTAAAGAAATAATAGCTCATTTATCTATCAGAGACAGAGACAGAAACATCCAAATAATTGAATGAGGCTGCTTAGTATAGGAAGGAATGCTGAACTTAAAGTTGGAGGATCTTCTTTCAGTTTTAGATTTTGCCACTTCCTATAGTTGTGAACTTATACAAGACATTGAGTGAAGTTATTATTTTCTATTAATAACCAATTATTAAATCAGGATTGAGGTTTTTCCTTTCTATTTCCTCATTCAGGAACCAGCCTTTGCAGGTCAGTCAGTCTCTGAAGGACACTGCTGAACGATGAGATTGCCCAAACCCTCCAGGTCCGTGGTCTTTGATCTTGGGTGGCACCCCATCCAACTAGAAGATCTTACAAACAGAATTTAATCTAGGTGAATTCTTGCCCTTAGGAAGTAAGTCTATGCCCTTGCAGACCCTCCATTAGAATTTAGGGTGACCCATCTTAGGAAGGAGAAAACCAATCAGAGTGATCTGGGTACAGATGGATTTCTCTGTTCAGATTGCTGGAGGCAGCTGACTCTCATGACCAAGTCACGTTCTCAGCAGGAGGAGATGAAGACTTTTAGACCACCTCTTCATTAAAATGTTTACCCCGCCTCATTAACTGTTCACCAATCAGGGGTGATTTTCACCTGTCAGGGCATCTCCTTTTCCAAAAGTACTTAAGCAGTCAGGAATCTCCATAGTTCTGACTTCGGTTATGACAGGGTGCTTGGGTGTTTGTGTTGGGGTGCTTGTGCTTGTACTTGGACCCCAATTTCTGCCTAGTCTCAGAAACACTGTCTCTGACAATTTCTCCCCAGCCCAAGGACGCTGTGCCCAGCAATTACTCATGAGTGGGCCCCAGCAAGACCCTTATCCCTCTCCCTGGTGCAGCTACACAAAGCTGGGTGAGAGAGTGCTGGGCTGCTCACTCCCCAGCCCTCAGATCACGTCTCTGGAAGCCTCCCAATTCCTTAGTAAGCTCCTGTCTTGTGAGAAAACTTTCCCTTGTTGCAGAGCATTCTGTAATCAGGACAGAGAGAGAGGGGTGTCTTGTCCAGCCCAAGGAGTTTTGTCCCTGGCTGGCCCAAGGACTCTTCCTCCTGCCAGATTCCCAAGATCCATGCCTCTGACATCTCCTTCCCTGTCTGGTATACTCCCTATACTTTCCCATCCATAGCTCCCAAAGGCACCTGGATTTTTAGATTACCTAGTCAGTATCCCTGGCATTCCTTTCCCATGCCCTTTTCCATACAAACCATAGCTCCATCCTCAGTCTCTTGCAGGTTCCTTAAGAATCCTTGCCCACTGAAAAGCATAACAATAAACTTTTTGCCAACTTGACTTAAAGAATGCACGAGTCTGTGAATTCATTCCAGACGACCCCGTCCTATACTCCAGTTTTTGAGGGGTCTCAACCTCTCAGACCAAAACAGTTACCGAGAGAGACCACTGACCATCAATTTATTGATTATCAGCTAGCCTAATTAATAAATTGATTATTAATTACCCAGAAATTCTGTCTCTCGGGCTATTTATTTGTCACATCTAGCTTCTCAGAGACTTTTTTTTTTACTTATTTGTAAAATGGGGATAAATGTTAAGTAATTCATAATGTATATAAAGCACTTTGTAGATTGTAAAATGGAATATGAATGTCATTGTTTCAAGGTAACTAGAGCTTTACTTTTTTTAAATTAAATTTTATTGTTCCCAATTATCAATCATTTCATTTTTTTCTCCCTTCAATCTCCCCCTACCTTTACTGAAGGAAAAAACCCCTTGTGACAAAAATCTACAGAAGTAGGAAAATGAAAAGTTAAAAAAAAATAGGGGTAAAAATAGACAAAAGAAAAATCCTATTGGAAGAGGTAGATTTAAAAAAAATAGGAAGTACTGAAGAGGAAAGCAATATTTTACAGATGAGGAGATGAGTTCAAAGAAGTTAATAAGCTTGTCCACTGTCATACACCTAAGTGTCAGAGCCGGGATTTGAACCCTGCTTTCCTCACTAAAGTCTAGCACTCTTGTCCTCTACAATGTAGAGTCTGCAAACTATGCTTTTTCTCTCCCTTTCCCCACCCCTTCCTCACCACCCAAGCAAATGAAAGGTGAAAAAATGACAAATTAAAATGTGCAAAGGAAATGTAAATAAAGGAAAGAGAAGGTGGGAGAGAATAGGAGACTTTGTATCCAAAGATATACATGAGAAAGATAAGGAAATAAGGAAGTTCAGAAAACCGTATTTCTCTGGGCATAAGTAACCAGTCAGTCACAGTGCTTCTGCACTTTTGAAGATCATGCTATCATCACCACCATGAATGCCTACCCTCCCTTCCCTATAAATATATGTATGTATGTGTATATATATATATATATATATATATATATATCCTCTCTAGGATTACTTGTGCCACATCTTATCATTCTACTAGATTAGAGCCATATATTTAGAATTTAAGGGGGCAGCTAGGTGGCGCAGTGGATAGAGCACTGGCCCTGAAGTCAGGAGGACCTGAGTTCAAATTCGGCCTCAGACCAAACACTTGACACTTACTAGCTGTGTGACCCTGGGCAAGTCACTTAACCCCAACTGCCTAAAAAAAACCAACAACAACAAAAAAAAGAATTTAAGGCCACAGGAACCTTAGAGATCATGTTTATCCAACCCACTCATTGAGGGGGAAATGGGCCCAGAGAGTCTGTGATTTGCCTTTGCTTTATTCATCTTTTGTATCCCCCATATTAACTGGCACAATACTTTATATATCGTAAGTGCTCAGTAATTTATTGAATGAATGAACAGGTCAATTAGAGGCGATTTCCATCTCATTATCCTCCCTTTGCTAGGTTACAATAATAATAATAATAACAACACCTCATAAATGTGTAGTGCTTTATGGTATGTAAAGCTCTTTATAAATATTCTCTCATTTGATTTATATGTAACTGGGGCTGCTTGAGCTACTTTTTTATCCTTAATCAACAAATATGCATTATATACTTACTATGTGCTAAGCCCTGGGGATATAAGTACAACAAACAAAACAAGAATGTACATTCTAATGGGGAAGACAACAATTGCATATGAAAATGTATATGATATTTGTGTGTGTGTGTACGTATAAAACATAAACGGGTGCCTTAGAGCTAGCTCTAGCTGCTTGCAACATCGAATTGTTAAATTTTCAGTGTGAACATCTACACCTCAGAAATCAACGACGCTTACAAATAAGGGTTTGATTTATTGTTTGGTTAATTGTCTACTCTAGACTTCAGGAGGTGTTTATGATGAAGATTAAACTTAAAAGACTGTGTGCATACCCTTCCTCCCAGAGGTATTAAACATTCACCAGCATGCCCTTGAGCCTAAATATAAAGTAAAATTATAAATATAAAGTAAATAAATACAAACATATGCAAAGTAATTAAATGCAAGGGAGTTTGGAAGGTAGAGTACTAGCAGAAAGAAAGGATCAACAAAGACTTCATGCAGGGTATGGTGTTTGAGCAGCATCTTAAACAAAGAGAGGGTAAGGTAAGATAAGGCAAGGAAGAGGCAAAGGTAAGGAGAAGTGTATTCCAGACATGGAAGGGGAGGTGGCCAGTGGGAAATGGAATGTCACATATGATGAACAGATAAAAGGCTAGTTTGGCTAGACTGTAAAGTGTAGGAAAGGGCATAACGTCCAATGGGGCTAAAGAAATAGGTTAGGGCCAGGCTGTGAAGCGCTTTTAAATGCTAAACAGAGGGTTTTATATTTACCTTTGAGGCAATAAGAAGCCACAGGCGTTGATTGAGTAGGGAAGTGACGTGATCAGGTACAAATTTAAGTTAAATTACCTTGGGAACAGTGTATAGGATAGAGTGGAATGATGGGAAATGGTGCAGGAAGACAATTAGGAGGCAGTTGCAATAATCTAAGTGAGAGATGACGAGAGCCTGAACATAGGCGAACATAGCTTTGAGAGAAGGGGTCAGATGTGAGAAATTTTGTGAAGGTTGAAATAGCAAAATTTGAAAATTAATTAAATAGATGGAGTAAGGGAGAATAAGAAGTCTGGAATTATGCCAAGATTGTAAACCTAAAAGACTACAAGAATGGTGATATCTTTGATAAAGATAGGGAAATTTAGATGAGGGGAAGCTTTGGGGGAGAAAGACGAGTTCAGTTTTGGACATGTTGAGCTTAAGATGTCTCTAGGACATCCAGTCTGAAATGTAAAACAATTGATGATATGGAATTGAAGCTCAGGGGAGCAATTACTGTTAAATATATGAATCTATTAGTTATCTGCATAGAGATGATACTTGAATCCATGGGAGCTAATGAGGTGACCAAGAGAAAGAATATAGAAGGAAAAGAGAAAAATCCCTAAAACAAAACTTTGGGAACACTCACAGTTAAGGGATATGATAGGGATAATGAACCAGTAAAGGAGACTGAGGAGTGGTCAGACATTTTAATAGCAGAGAAAATCAGCAATGGGAATCCCACTTTTGATATAGTCATGATATAACATGGAATTTTATTCTCTTAATACTATATTATCTCTTTTATTTTAATCTCTTTTTAACACCAATATTTTTATTGTTCAGAGGACCTAAATTAAAATCTCACTTCTGACAATTATCTCTGTAATTTTGTACAAATCATTTAACCTCTCTGGACCTCAGTTGCTTTTTTTTGCTTTTTTTCATCTAAAAAAAGGAGAGATTGGACCACATGGCCTCTAAAGTCTCTTCCAGTTCTAAATTTATCATCCTATCAAGCATTTGCTGCACAGGGACCTAAGAATTTTCTCCTACAAGAACCTATGGTCATGTTTCTTCTTATGAATTCCCATACCTTACACAAGAAACCCTACAATATTTTGATTACCAAAGGCTATAGATCCAAAATGCCTTCTACATGATAGACACCTCAGAAATGTTTGTTGAGTCAATGAATGAATGAACCTTCTTCAGTTCACAATACTTTACAATTGTTCGCACTCAATAATAATTTAATTAAACTAGTTACAGCTTAATAACTGCTGCTTTTAGGAAATTCTTTTGCAAATAACCCTCAATTTTACTTAGAAATAGTAACACATAGAAATTTCAGTTTTATTTGCACAAAATAAAATGGTGTCTGGTAGGAAATGCAGAATTATATTGCAAAATCCCGCAGGATTTGGGGGAAACTGTAACCTTGACAGCTGGGTATTGTAAAGAAGTAAGGCATTAAGTTTCCTCCCATCATAGAGCAGAGTATTTAGAAAGTGCCAGAAGGTCAAAGGCTATATGTAGCACTTGACGGTTTTGAGGAATTACACCCTTTTTTCCTAAGGTTTCATAGTTCCCTTGCATCTGTCATTTTGATGACATGCAGACTGTTAAGGTAGAGGTTCCCAAACTTATTTGGCCTCCCATCCCCTTTTCAAAAAAAAAAAAAATTACTCAGCGCCTTCCTGGAAACAGTTTTTTTTAAAAATCTACATCACTTCAAAAATACAATTTTTAAATTATACATCTTAAATTTAATAATTTATTATAAATTTGTGCGGTTTTTCCCGAATGAAATTTTGATGACACAATATTGTGTCATGTAACCAAATAGTATCTATTGTAAACAAGTCATTTCAGGTACATATTCCTGCCAAAGCATGCTAGACTTCTGGACAACGTACTACACGCTTGCCTGCCAACACATGGGAGCTCTTCACCCGAGGAGGGTGGCAACAGTAGTATCATTGGCTCTAGGAGAAACAAGTGCCACCCTCTTCCTCTCCCTCCTCCCCTCTCCCAAAGCTGAAGATCATAAGGTTTGGGTAGGAAGTGAGTTCTAGGTTCATTCCAGTCTAACCTCTAATGCAGTGAGAAAACAGGAGTTAGGAGAGAGCTTGGTGTTAAATCCTGCCCTGAGGTTCACTACCAGTGCGACTGAGGGAAAAGCCCCTCAACCTTTCAGTGCCCCCAGGCCTCTAAAGATGGACATGTTGCAACTGAGTTTTAACAAAAGGTTAAACTGAGGCAGATCTCCGCACAATATAGCATTTATTAGCAGGGGCAGCTACCTAGCAGTAGATGGGTCAATGGCTTGCCTCTGTTAATGCCAAAGACCCCAAGCAGATGGACAGCTCTCTTTTTATTGGTTTTGGGCAGTACAGAACAAAGAACAGAACAGAGTAGATGAAATCATGGGATTAAGAGCAACATGATTGGTTACAGAACTGAGGCACAAGGAACAACATGAATGGTTGAAAGTTTGGTAATGGAGACTAGCAAATACCCACCCACCACCTTCTCTCATGAGACTCAGAAGTGCTTATTGTTTGAGTCCAGGTGTGAGCTAGCAGTCCAGACTTTTGGACAGCAAACCAGACATGCTTAAAGGATAACCTGTTAGAGTAAAGATACCAGGCCCAAACTTTCTGATCACGCACATTCCCCAAGGTCAGCAAAATTCCTTGAAGAGAGCTGAATTTTTAAACTTAATCCATTAATCCATTACAAGCCAACTGACCATTGAACCAACTTCAAAGGCAAAGAACCATGACTTACCAAGTTACAGGACAAAATCAATTAATTGTAAATAGGATCAATAAGAAAATAATACAGGATCAATCTCAACATTCTCAGACAATAGTTACCAAATGGCAATGCCCTACACCAACAAAATCACTGATATGGACAAAAATAATAACATAAACTGTATTCATTTTAGTCTATCATGAGGTTTTACCATAGTTTCTCTTCTCTTACTTTTTTGCACTTTAAAGTGCTATATAAATGTCAGTTATCGAAATTATTTGAATTCTACTTCTGTCCCTTGACCAAGCAATTCACACCTTTGTGAGTATCAGTTTCCTCATCTGTAAAGTGGGGGCCTCTGGTACCTACTACGGTCCAGGGCTGTTGTGAGGTTCACGTGAGATGTGTGCATTTAAGTGTCATATAAAGATCAGTTACAACTTCGTATCTGAGAAAACTTAGGCCCATAGAGGTTAAACGACTTGCTCAACAAGTTATTAAGTATCAAGGTTGATTTGTGAACCATTTCCCATTCCAAATCCAGTTTTCTTTCTCGGACCCCCAACAGAAAAACGAACAGCTACGGCGCAAAGAAGCAAAGGGGATTTGTGGTTTTGGTGAAAAGGGGCCTGCAGAGAGTCGGGGGTAATGTATGTAAAGTATAATGAAGCATTTTGTAAACGTTAAAGATCTACAAGGAAGTCAGCTATTATCATTTTCATTGGAGAGGTGGAGAGGTAGATGTGAGCAAACCCTTGCTCAACTCACCTTCACTTGCTCGTAGTAGCTGCCGGTGCCCAGCGTCGCAATGCCCTCGAAGGCCGGGTCGTAGAGGGGCAGCCGCCGCTGCAGGTGGTCGACGATCTTGTTCACCAGCCCGCAGGCTACGGATGTCTCCTGACGCCGCAGCTTTAGTTTCTCCACTACACGTTGTGGCCTCCAGCCCGCGGAGTTCAGGCGGGGTACTCCCTTCTCCCGGTCCGCAGGATCCTTCTTTTCCTTGGGCAAGATTCCTGGTCCGTTGGATAGGGGCGTAAGGTCTCCAGGGGGGCGATCCTCCTTGAGGACCGGTTTCCCGTCCCGCTGAGTATGTCCGTCCCCTGGGTGGGGAAGCCTCTTCTTAGTGGCCTGAGACTCCGGGGCCCTGGCAAGGACCTTCTCCTGGAGGACAGGGGGTTGCTTCTCCCTCAGAGATTCCGACCCACTGGAGTGGGAGCCCTTCTCTGGGGCGGCGTCCGCAAGGTCGGGGGCAGCCTGAGAGGGGCGGCGGGGAGCCCGGGTTCGTGCTGCCTGAGTCTTGCCGGAACCTCGGATAGAACCCTTGCGCCGGGCTGCGGGAGCCCTTGTCACTGTGCCTTCCATCCCGGACCACCCGAGCTCTCCCGGGTCTCTCGCCTTAGTGTCTCTAAGAGAAAAAGGCTTTCCAGGAAGAGGCGAGAGTGAGGGTGGAGAGTGCGGGGTTAGGAAAGACTGGAGCAAGGGTGAGGGAGGAGGGGGGTGTGTGGGGACGTTCTAAGGAAATGAAACTTATGAAACTGGCGGGAAGTCTGAGGCCCAAGAACTTAGATTGAAGGGAAACCCCCAGTTGTCCCAAGGTTCCCTCTTTGAGCAATTAACTGGGATGGGGTAAAATAGTTAAATTTATTGACAGTGAACTTTATAACTTTTTACAGCTAAAAAAAACTTTTTGGTAAGTAGTATGTGCTTATGCTGCAATCACTTGCTTTGTACAATTTGGCTTTGGATTGGCAATCAGTCTTTATCACGGAATCACACTTTTATCACAATATATATATAAGCATACCTATGACAGAGAGTTCATTTTTCCAAGTCTATTCTTGATTATAGTGCATAGGCTTTCTCTTTTAAAATGCATTTTATTATTGTCTTTTTGTTTTTGCATCTCCTATATTTCCCCCTATGCACTTCTCTCTTTGCCTTCCCAGACAGTCATTCCTTATAATGGATTTTAAAAGAAAAGAAAAAAAATCGTCAAAACTGATCAATATATTGAAAAAAAATTGAGGTTATATGCAATGTTCCACACATCCTTCCCCCACCCCAACCCCTACCTCTGTAAAAGACTGAAGAGAGGCATTGTCTTCTCATCTCATCCTTTATAATGGAAAGAAGAGCTTCCCTCACATGGCGGAAGGTCCACCTGTAGCAAAGGCTGTCCTTGTGTGCGGCTTTAAGGGAGGCAAAATAGACATCTCTAGCCTCTTCTCCCCCCACCTTTCTCCAAGAGACACTTTCATTACTGCCGGAAGGGAAGCAGGAGGTTGGCAGAGGCATTCCCCATATCTTGGGATTAGAACTTGATTACACTAATAGCTGTTAAAAGCAAAATAAAACAAAAAATGAAAATAAAAATGAGTAAGCAAAGGAGAAAACCCAACTGATGGAATCCTAGCCTCTGCCCCAGGACCCAATATCCCAATTTCTTCACATGCCTCACTGTCTCACTAGAACAGCAGGTGTGCCCATGAGGAATTTGGGATATTGGGTCTTTGGACAGTGGCTAGGTAGGGGCAGTGGCTAGGATCCTATCTCAACCATAGATAGCTACTATGGGGATAAAGAAGATTTGGGTTCATACTCAGAGGAAGATAATGGAGCTAAAAAAAAAAAAAGCCACTCCTTTTTCAATGAGAAATGTCAAATGGCTCCAAGGACAAAAAGAGTTCTTGGAAGAACTTTAAAAAGACTTTAATAATCAAATAATAGAGACAGAGGGAAAATTTGAAAAAAAAAAAAGGAGCAATCAACCAACTTAAAATAGAGAATAAAAAACTTAAGGAAGAAAATAATTCCTTGAAAACTAGAATTGGGCAAAGGGAGGCTAATGACATCCTAAGACACCAAGAAATAATAAAACAAAATCAAAAGAATGAAAAAAATAGAAGAGAATGTGAAACATCTCATCAGAAAAACAACTGATCTGGAGAACAGGTCGAAGAGAAATAATATAAGACTAGTCAGACTACCTAAAAATTACAATAAAAAAGAATCTTGATACAATACTACAAAAAACTATCAAAGAAAATTGCCCTGACATTCTAGAACAAGAAGGCAAAGTAGAAATAGAAAAAAATCCACTGATAACCATCTAAAAAGATCTCAGGAGGAAAACTACAGGAATATCATAGCCAAGTTTCAAAGCTCCCAGGGTAAGGAGAAAATTTTGGAAGAAACAAGGAAAGAAAATTTAATTATCATGGAACTACAATAAGGGTTATATAAGACCTAGCAGCTACTACATTGAAGGACCATAGGTCTTGGAATGCTATATTCCATAGAGCAAAAGAGCTGGGTAACTTACCCAGCAACGTTGAGTATAATCCTGAATGAAAAAGACAGGATATTTAATGAACTGAAAGACTTTCAGGTATTTGTGACAAAAACAGCAGAACCTAAGGGAAAAATCAACAAATAACACCCAGGAGAAATATAAGGTAAACATCAAAGACCAATTATAAAGGACTCAATAAAGTCAAATTGTTTACTTCTAACATGTGAAAATATTATCAGTACTCTTATGAATGTCATCATTATTTGGACAGTTTGAAAGAAGGATTTAGGCTGAGCTACATATGATGGGGTGATTCTAAAAAAACCATAGGGAGAGATAAAAAGAAGTAATTATCTCATGCAAATGAGGCATAATAGGGAAAATAGATACAGAAGAAGCTAGTAGGGGGGAGGGCAGGTACTGCTGGATTACTCTCATTGGAATGGGTTAAAGAAAGAATATAAAAGTCTTCTAAATTCAGAAAGAAGTAAGAGGGCAAGGAGATAGGACAGGAGAGAGGATAAGGGAAGGACTCTTGGAGGGGTGGTAGGTTAAGGAATAGGAGGACAAGGTATTGGGTAGAAGTAAAGCAGAGGACTTCAGAGGGATAGGATTAGGGTGAGAAGGATAGTGAGGAAAAATAGAGAAGAGGAAAATACACAACTAATTATAGCTCAGAATATGAATGGGACAAATTTACCCATAAAATTGAAATTGATAGCAGATTAAAACTTTGAATTCAACAGGAAATGATGTAAAAATGAGAGATACACACAAAAACAAAATAAAGGTCAGGAGTAGAATTTGTTATGTAAATAAAGTAGGGATAGTAATCATGATCTCAGACAAAGTTAAGGCTAAAATAGATTTAATCAAAATCTATCTTACCCTAAAGGAAAGTGGTGGGGGGAAGGGATAAGAGAGTGAAAGGGGTGATAGAAGATTAGAGTAAGGGGTAGGTAATCAGAAGCAAACACTTTTGAGGAGGGACAGGGTCAAAGAAGAGAACAGAATAAATGGAGGGAGAGGAGGGAGATAGGATGGAGGGAAATATAGTTGTTTTTTTACAACATGACTATTATGGAAGTCTTTTGCATGACTACACATGTATAACCTATATCAAATTGCTTGCCTTCTCAATGAAGGTGGGTGGGGAGGGAGGAAGGGAGAGAATTTGGAACTCAAACTTTTAAAGACAAATGTCAAAAAATTGTTTTTACATGCAACTGGGGAATAAGATACACAGGCAATGGGGTATAGAAATTTATCTTACTCTACAGGAAAATAAAAGGGGAAGGGGATAAGAGAAGGAGGAGTAATAGAAGGGAAGGCAGATTGGGGGAAGGAGTAATCAGAATGCATGCCATCATGGAGTCCGGGAGGAAGAGATGGGCAGAAAATTTGGAACTCCAAATCTGTGGAAGTGAATGGTGAAAACGAAAAATAAATAAATTGGGGGAGGGGGGGAAAGAAATGATAAGCAGGTGATTTCAGAAAAACCTGGAAAGATTTACATGAACTGATGCTGAGTGAAGTGAACGGAACCAGAACATTGTACCCAGTAATAGTTACAATGATCAACTATGATTCACTTAGTGCTTCTCAGCAACACAATGATCCAAGACATTTCCAAAAGACTCATGAGGGGGCGGCTAGGTGGCGCAGTGGATAGAGCACCACCCCTGAAGTCAGGAGGACCTGAGTTCAAATCCGGCCTCAGACCAAACACTTGACACTTACTAGCTGTGTGACCCTGGGCAAGTCACTTAACCCCAATTGCCTAAAAAACAAAACAAAACGAAAAAACAACAACAAAAGACTCATGATGGAAAATGCTACTCACATCCAGAGAAAAAACTGATGGAATCTGAATGTAGATCAAAGCATACTTTTTCACTTTTTTGTTATTTTTTATTTTCCTTTTGTTCTGTTTCTTCTTTCACAACATGATTAATGTAGAAATAATGTTTTACATTATTGCACATGTATAACCTATATCAGATTGTTTTCCAGCTTGTGGAGGGGGGAGGGAATGGGAGGGAGGGAGGGGAAATATTTGGAACTCAAAATCTTTCAAAAAAGGAATGTTGAAAATTGTCTTTATGTATAATTTTAAAAAAATAAAATACTATTAAATAAAAAATAGATTTAATTAAAAGAGAAAAATAGGGAAACTATACTACATGTCAGCAATATTATTTAATATTGTTTTAGACCATTTAAAATAACTAGATAGTATAAAATACTTGAGAGTATACATGCCAAAACAGACACAGGAACTATATGAACATAAATATAAAACACTTTTTTATACAAATAAATCCAGATCTAAACAACTGAAGTAATATTTATTGTTCATGCATAGATAAAGCCATTATAATTTTAAAATGATATTTTTACTTAACTGATCTATTTATTCAATGCCATCCCAATTAAATTACCAAAAAATTATCTGAGTTAGGAAAAAATATAACAAAATTCATTTGGAAGAACTAAAGATCAGGAACATCAAAGAAACCAGGGGAAAAAAAGATTTTAGGAAGCAGATTCAGCAATAATCAGACCTTAAACTATAAGGTGAAAGCATTGTTGAATTGTAAAATGGATAATTTTGACTATTTTAAATTAAAATTTTCTTGTACAAATAAAACCTATATAGCCAAGAATAGAAGGAATGCAGAAAATTGGGGGGGGGGAAACCTTCATAAAAAATCTCTCAGATAGGATGTGATTGGGTTGGAATATTGCTGCAGTACAGGAAATAATGAGCTGGTTGATTTAGAAAAACATGGAAGACTTGGACTTATGAAGGAAGATGCTATCCACTTTCAGAAAAACAGATGACAAGCAGAACTAAGCATAGTATGGTCTTACATATATGTATATGAGTATATATGTGTATGATTATAGATATGTATATTTATTCACACTTAATTGTAGCCTTCTTTAGGGTGGGGAGGGGAGTGAAGGAAGGGGGAAAAATAAGTTAAAAGTGTAGAACAGAGAACAAAAGAAAACCTACAAGAAAAACTAGAAGAGCAGCTTTGAAAACAACATGTAGTATTTATCATATAGATTTTCTTGAAATGGAAATTTATTGTTTTATATTGAATCTCTCATGTTCTGCTGTGTACATGGCAATGTTTTTTTTTCTTTTCTCATTTTGTAT